ATGAGAAGTTCTCCTTTCTATTGGTATTGCCATCTTTCGCCGGGAAAAATGCGTTGTTTCCACCCCAATGACATGGTAGTGAAATCAAACTTGATTCTTAGGTGAGAGAGTGTCTTGACCTATGATCATGTCTTGCGCCCCAAGTTCTTGGTGACGTGTAAATTCCATTTGATAATTCTATCATCGTGGAACTCAGGAATCGCGAGTGTGCCCTTACACTTCGTGAGGGGTCAAGTTCTTTCATAGAAGCAGTCCGTATATGTTTGGACGCCCCCATGATTCTTCATGAGTAAACTCTTAAGCATGAGTTTGAGTAATTAAAGTTCCGATGCTCCTGTATCCAGTAGCAACAGAGTGTAACGGGTTTTTTGTTTCCCTTCTTTCGTCTGTTAAATCTAATGTAGACGATAGTTCAGTCTCTTGTCTTGCGACGTTGATGAGTTGATTGGCCAATGGACGAAGTAACGATGCTGGAACAGATCGTCAGCGTCTAGTGGAGTAGTTGCTAGGCAATTATCTAATTTGCCGTAGACCTTCGTTAGTTGCAAACAAATCTTGTTATATTTAGTGAGAATATCTTCATCACTTAGGTATGAGAAAATCGGAACAGGTTCCTTGAATCATCATCCTGGCCTAATCCTCAGACGGAGATCTCTCCATCCGAATGATTGAAGTCGAATTCGGCAGCGCCTTGTCAACAGCAACCATTTTTTTGTCCATCATGTTGATGGAATCCAACAGATGAGTCGTCCTCGTTGTCGAAGTTGTCTGAACTTGCGCTTGGCAACATGGTTGCATTCGCTTTTCTCTTGCGATCAGCCTTGACGCAGCGTTGGAAACTTTCTTCATGAGGACGGAGAGTTCCTTCTTGTGTAGTCTTGGCGTCGTCGGACTGTCGTTTCCAAGTCTTGTTCTTGTTGTACGCTGGCTTGTTATCTTTATCAGACGAGGACTGAGACTTTGCCTTGAAGCTTCTTCGAGTCATGCAGTCAGCAGGTTTGTGAGTGCTGGACTCGTGTAGTCACACCATTTTTCTTCGTTCTTGGAAGAGTAATCGTTGTTGCGAGTAGACTTGTACTTCTTGCTGTTTTCTTCTTCGAAGGAGCTTGCTGGCATCACCGCCCTTGTCAAAGTCTTCGGAGGATTCCATGCGTTCGCAGAATCAATGGTTTCTCCGATAGGAGTGAGAAAGGATCGAAGTCGTGTTCGTCATCTTCTTCATCCACGAGCGTGGAATTCCATGACAAACAATGTCAATGACTTTCGTCATGGTTCAACGTTTGGTTGGGTCCAAAAGGGGTAGACGAGGAAGTTCATCGGTGTTCATCCGACTGAGGTTGTTGACATAAGCCCGAGTAGACATATCAGCAGGCTAACGCATCTTGCGGCGCATGAAGCGTTTCTGCTTTTCAAGAGCCTTGTAGGGACAGACCGCTTCGACACAGGCATTTATGCCAACGTAATGTCAGAGTCGTCCAAAGCAGGCTGAGCTTGTCCGTCCCAGGCATTCGGAAACGTGTTGGAAAGTGGCTTCTCTTCACCCCACGTATGTCGCGTGGAGGAATGCCGTTGACTGCAAATCTGGCGAAGGCATTCCAACGTAGTTCACGGTGGCCTGCACAGCTAGATTCGAACTGCTCTTGGCAGAGCTAAAAGTCATCTCCCTGAGGAGGTTATGTTTTCGGTAGGCGAAGCAATGGCGAGCCAACGAAGACCTTCTCATGCGTCCAGCCCACTTGATGGTCTGACTGGAGTTTCAGATCCATTGATGATTTGGACCTTGAAGGTGTACTTGCGCTGTTAGCATCTGCTGGAACAGTGCGAAGTTTGTAGGTGGTAGAGCGAGAATCGTCGATTTCGCATTAATCGTCGAGGTCGATGAGAGGAAGGATTGGTTTGTCGCGAGCTTAGACTCGAAGCTGGTGTAAGCGTCTTTGGCAATCTTCATGGTGAGGAATAGGTTGAGGGTAGCTGAAGCTATTGTGTTTGTTAACAAAATGCCATACGCTAAAAAGCTAGTGTAAAGATCTTTCGAGTGTTTGAGTTTGAAGAATGAAAGTTATGAGAGGATTAGAAAGCTATGAAACTAATCAACGAGAGAGATCCACAACCAAAGGATCGTAGATCTGAACTCCGCGGGAGACTGTAGAGTGTGATAAGAGTAGGTTGCGGTAGCAATCCTACTCACTCCACGATCCAAAAACGGAACGCGTGAAGATTCGTCTAGCATTTATCTAGTAGCGTGGAAGTACTCCACGCTGCTAAATATCTAGAGCGATGTTTCATCATCAACCTAGTATGACTAAGAGCGGTCATTGAGAACCCTGTCTCAATGACTATTCACGAAGGACTACGTCATGAGTCAACTCAGACCCTATCTAGATCAGTCGCGAATAGCTAGAGCCGTGTATTGCAGTATACTTGACAACAGTTGTCTACATACACCAATTTGACTGCTTCGATTGGTGCAATCACCGGTTCCTCAGTACCAGGTGGAAGAGGGGCACCTTCTGGGAGTAAATCGCGAAGACCCTCAATTCTTCGCTTCTTCTCTTTCGCCTCTGCATTTCGATTCAATCTCTGCCGTAACCTCTCAAGATCTTGCTCAATCTCTGAAAAAGACTCGCTGTATTTGAGCGCTTTCCACAAAACTGTCAGTCCATCTTCATTGTGAACTGTCACGATGCACCTGAAGGGGCAGAAACTCTTTCCACGGCCTGTCCAGACACGAATCTTGGATGCCAGTTTATAGTTGAAATCGACCTTCAGCACTTCTGCAGTGAGTCCTTTCATTTTGCTCTCGATGAACTCTTTCCTGTGCTGGAAGACGGTGTTGACAATGCAGTTAATGTAATGCCGGCTGATGAATTTCCCATTGTACCCCTGCTTGTCATCGAAACTGGAGAACAGAGGAGGCTTATTGGCGGCTTCATCAGGTGTCTCTTCCACGGGTTCTTCTTCTGCATTGTCACTCACATATTCTGCCAGTTTCTCTATTGCTAAAGCCAGGGATGCCTCTGCTGGAGCAAGTTCAGCTTCTAATTCTTCCACCCGGTCACGGTATTTCTGATAATACATCTCCACCTTCCGCTGTCATCCAGGGAGCAATCGCTTGAGTGGGGAGGGATAATCATCTGGATCCACTGCTTCCAGCTGTTTGGCAGAGTGAATGTCTGCATTAATCAATTTGCGCAACTTTGTCTTTCCAATTCCCTTCAGAATGTTCTGGTCCCCAAACTTATTCCTGTCGCTCTTGTCACCAACAAGATGCCGGAACTGGAGGTCTTTGTTGAGGCAGGTTCTGTTGTGTGCGAGATCAAGGCGGAGCCGTGTCACCACCATCTGTTTCTGGTTCTTAGCTGACTGGAGTTCTTTGGTTCTGGGATCATCAGTTCTTGGTACAGCAAACTCATCCAGCGTTCTCTGTCTCTTCTTCTTTGGTTTGTAATTAATCTTTTCTCCACCAACTGCAGATAGGTATAACTCGTAATCTGAATAGTAGCCCCTGTACGCACTCTGTTTCAGCCTTCTTGCGATCTCTGATGTGCACTTGTTAGCTGCAGATAGAACGATGTGACTGTATAATTCCTCATCCACCGCATAGCCATTCCCCAGATAGAAGTTGAAGAATGAATTGTAGACATCCGCGTCCAGTTGCATGCTCTTCTTGTTGTATTCAGTGAAACGTCTAGTACAGAGACCGCAATAGTACAGCATTGTGTCGAGATATTTGTTGCAGTGGACACCGTAGAGAAGAATTCTGCCAGCGGCACTTGTTTATATCCACATAAGTGTCCTTTTTGCAGTGAAGACACGATGGAATGTGCCCCTTGAAGTGCAAGTGCGGTACCCAAACAGCAACAGGTCGAACGTAAAAGGATTCCACGATGGACTTTCTTGCGTCTTTGTGCATGAGATTACTGTTGAATCTTCCTCCGCTGGGCATGACACTGAACCACTTGTTAGACTTGAAGAATGCTCGACTGTCATTGGTAATGGATTCCCTTGTCTTCTTTATGAACGCCTCTTGTGCAGGCCCATAGGGCTTTCTATTGGTTGTGGTAGCGGCCGGTGTAGTAGTAACACTTATCTTGTCATTGGCTCTCTTTGTGAGAGTGGTGTCAGTTTCGAAACTCTCAGAATCAATCAAAACAAATTGAGGGCTAGGGATAGCCCGGGTGGCGCGAACGAAGTTTCGAACCTGCCACCAAGACTCAAGAAAATTTGGTTTCCACAACGCACCGTGGTAAATACAGTATAGATTTTTTAAAAGTTGTTTGTGACGTTTTCAAGGGGAACTATTTGGGGTGTTACAATTAGTGTTGGGACGTCTGAGAGACTGGGGGATATAGGGTAGATATGACTGGGTAGTCTGCCCTCCCCCCTCTTTTTTCCCCCTTCTTTGCTTTGGGCGAACCGGAGCTTCGCCATACCCTGCAACAAGACACACCCCGGTAAACACTTGAACTTCAATCACGAACAGAACACGATGCAGCATCTGTGATAGAGTTAAACAACAGTTAACGCGAATCATAAGACGAGCGCAGATACTACCACTTCGAAAACAATTGACTCAAGGATGAGAACACCATTTTTGTGCTTAATTAAAAGGGGCAACATTTTCATGTAACAGAAATCGGAGCACGACCTCTAAGTAAAATGGAGGAAGCAACCGAGGAACCAGTTTCTGTGCATGACTCAAGGAGTCACGAGCCCATTTTATTTAAAGACCTCGGCTCCTTGATTTTCATGACACAGAAATTGATTTCACGGCCGTAGCTTTTGTACTGAGGTCGACATTAGACCAATTTCTGTGAAATTTCTGTGACACAGAGTCAATTGTTCTCGAAGTGGCAGTATGCCCACCTAACTGCACAATCGGCGTTCGGGGGAGACGAGACGTTCAAACGAAGTTGTTGGGTTTTCGAGAGGAGGGCAAGGGCACGCCCAAACCGAGCAAGGTATCCACGTTCCCACACCACGATGTTTAAATAAAAATGTCTTGTTTCAGATACCACAGTTTAGTTATGCCTTTTGGTACCGCATTGTAAGGGAGAAACTAGATGCAATGGAGACAAACAACGGCAAAATCAATCCGCAACTCCGTAACATCAACCAAAGGAAGGCGGCGACGCTTCAAAGTGCAGCAACATGAAGAAGAACATGAAGAAATCGTCAAGCTCTCGTGAGATGAGATCCTCTCCGACGGTGGAAAATGTCTCCAAGTATGGAGTTGTCTATCGTCAAACATCCCTGCAGGCCATTGATGATGCCCCCGAACCAAATGAAGGCACCAACATTGACCGCCATGCAGTCTCTGCGTTCGATCTGCTGTCTGAGAGTGTGAGCAACATGACCAAGGATGGCAGCGCACGGTCAAGCAATGCACGGTCAAGCAATACCCAAGTACGGACTCGTAGTCAGTCTTTTACGCTGCAAGGAAATGCCAGTGGGTTGTTGGTCAAGGGGGGAACAGCCCCAGCCGTCCGAAGAAAAACCGAAATGATGTCCTCCACCAGCAGCCACAGTGCCACTACTCAGGACGGCGCCAAGCGATCCATCTATGGTCCGAAAGATCTTGTGCAACAAGTGAAAATTGGACTGGAAAATCTGCAGCTGGAAGAATTCTCGGATGACGGTACCGGTATGAGTAATGCTGGGGCAGGCGAGAGAAGAGAGAATGGAGCGGCACTCAGTGACAGCAGTGATTCCTATGATGCAAACGTATTGGGGGTGGGAATGGAAGATGGATCGGGAAGCCAAACCAATAAACCACCTAGGTTACAAAAGCAGGGTTCTTCCCTCTCTGGAAGGCACTTAACGGGTTCGGTGATGCAGGGCTCAGTTGCGGAATTAAGCAATTTCAGTGATGAATACGACGACGATGACGACGGCCTTCACGGATCTGTATCCTCCTATGATGATGATGCACCATTCAAATGTTGCGGCGTATCAGCACCGGTAAGTAAAGCCAGAAGCTGGGACATTTCCATCATCTCATTGATTTGTTTTCTCACACCATGCTTGATCTGCGTTGCAGGACTGGAGGTGCATTAGGTTGAATAGAATTGCCTCGGCTGTTGTGCGGTATGCTCCGTGTTTTTGGTGCTTTCCAATACCCGTTTCGGCCACAGATAGAACTGTTTTGACGCGTCTGAATATCATGAGTGCATTCTTTGCCCTGGGACAAATGGTGGCAACATCTTGGTTGGTCATTATCATGCTTATCCCGCCTTCTGATCACGAGCAAGATGATGAATACGGTTTTACCAAGGGAATGGAACCCAACTTGTGGAGTCTGACGGGCGCTATGTATAGGTAAGAGAATGCGACCATCATCAAAACAACGAGCGTCTGATCTGATTGTCTAACAATTCCAATCTCACAATTCCAATCATTCACAGCGTCGGTTTCTTTGGTAAGTGTCTGAATGCCTTTCATACCGTTCAATGCCGGTACCACCGGCAACGCCATTGCTCACCTTCACTCGGTTTGAAACAATCTCTAGGTACTGTCATCTTCATAACCAATCTTGTCACTCTCAAAGTCATTCAAGTGGTTAACCTTGTCGGGGCCATTAGGTATCTTTGGGGTAAGCCTGTCTACTGTGCTCCCTCGTGAATTGCATCATGATGCAGTGCCTTAATCGTGTTTTCCTTTCTCCATTTGGATAGTCCTCTTGTATTTGATCCCATTTCAAGTCTTCTTCGTTGCAAGTTTGTTCGACTTCTATGGTGTTACGCATGTGTGGGTGAAGCACTGGTGGAGAGTACCCAGTATGGCTTGGTTCAGAGAGACGTACTGTGAACCGGGAACAGCTGGGACACTTTGCATGGTTCCTGGATGTGGCCAGGAAGCTACCAGCTGTAATGAAACCGAATGGTGCTTGGTAAACTATCAGGCGACAAATTGCACTGCAATAAGAGATGCGGCCCAGCTCGAAGTGGAGGACCTTATGAACTTTTACTACAATGGAAATCTGGCATGGGGCTTCATCTTGATTGCCATTGTAAGTTCGTCGTTCAAAGCAGGCTGCTTGCTCGGTGGGGTCTTGATGTCAGTCTTTGCTCAAAGTCACTCTTTCTGCTGCGTTTTCAGCTTCTTCTCATTGTGAACACTCTAGAACGAATCATTTCACGACCCATGGTTCAGAAATCGAGAGAAAGCAACGTTCCCGCATGGCTGTCTCTCCCTTTCATGGGTTGTTCGGTTGTGGGGGCCGTCTTCCGCTACTCTCCGTCATCTGTTCTTAGCGTACAAGCTGGTTCTACATATTCCTGGGTCGGCTCGGCGTACATGACATGTGGAGTCCTCTTTTTGATCACGGCGCTTTTGGCTTGGTTTATATCCACATTCTCCATCCTCAGCAGTCGCGACAAACGATACAAGCATGTGTCAGTGATTGTGTTTATCTTCTTCATGGCAGTGACCTGTTTCATATTGACGGTGGTATTTGTGGCGAGCACATCCTATTCTGCAGCGTTGGTGGAGATTCCAATCTCTAGACCCCAAAAGCATGAGATTGCCTGTGGTGTGGATACTGCTGACAGCTGCTCCAATTGTGATGGTCAGTATCCATTGAGACCCAAGTGCCCCGAGTGGAGTATGGATGATGTGAAAGCCGTTCTTCAAACGCAGACGAAAGGAAGTGCTACGCTGGCTTTTATTTTCTTTATTTACGCATTCAGTGCCCTTCGGTTTGGCTTTGTTCTTCGCAAGCACGTGACAATGTATCAGATTGAATACGTTTGAAGAATAATTAATGAGACGAGTGCTGGACCTGGCTGATTTGCAACGGGGCATTGAAGTGGCAAGCTAGGAATGCGAACGGGAACTCTAATCGGGACGAATCGAATCTCGGGTCTGTAGACTTTTCCATAGATACTAGTATCGCTGCATTGTATTTACACGGTGAAGTTAGATCATACCGGTAGTGGCCAACTTCGAGTGAGCTTTGACCACGGTAACAGGAAGCCATTGCTTACCAAGAATAGCAATGGTTGGCAAGAGAATACCTCGAAAGGAGCATTTTCTCCTCGACAATGATTCGTCAGCCTCTTCTCCTGAGGAGCATTCATCACCTCTAGCTTTTGATTCGATTCACCAAGCTCCCTCGAGGCATTCGCACAGGATCATCCGCATAATCAAAAACATTACATCCGTTGCAGATGTATACGGTACCTGAACTCATGCTCCTTCTCTAAATAATTCTAGAATTGTATGCATAAGATAATATCTACCTATCTAGACACACGATTCCTGCATATATATTGTTGTTGTTATAGGTCTGTCACAGCCCTTCTATTGTGGCAATGATGAGTGCCTTTTCATCTCGAAACTGTGTATCGGCTTCTTCTCTATCCTTGTGTAGCGTTTCGAGATAGCGACACAGTTTTTCTTTATTGTCCTTGAGAATCTTGATGATTTCGGGTGGTTTGTTGGGGTTTGCCACGAATACTTTAAAGACGTGAAAGGCATCGAGAGTGATATGAGGCGATGTATCTCGCAATAGCTTCATGACGAGCACTAAATTCCTCCGTTCGGCCACGTATTTGATCATGACGGCATAATTGGACCGTGTCAACAAGACTGTGGATAAGATTTGGAGAGCCATTCGTCGTGTCATGTAATTTGCCGTTTCGGTCAAGAGCAGAGGGAATCGTTGCACCCAAATGGCGTCATAATCTCTGGTCAAAAAGTTTGCGGCAATTTCCGCCATGGCTTGTTGCGTTTGTTCGTCGTGTTGATGCGCAGTAGCCCCGGAAGAAGAAGATCCGGTAAAGATGATCCGTAGCGTCTCCATGGCATCACTGGAGACATCAAAATTAGGCAAATGAACGTATTTATCAAGAAATGGAAAGACAAAGCGTTGTGTTCGTTCGGTGGTGATGGTCAGTTGTTGATAGAGCGCTACATGCCGTAGACAGGACCGTAACATGGATCCAAAATGGAGTGAACAATCGGCTTGTCCGCCGTGCAATTCACAGTCGTGTCCTTTGACGAGCGTGGAAATAATTTCATCGTATCGTGATGCGACGTAGTCTCGAAAGGAATTCATAAGGGGTTGATAGAGGTGACCGTCCGATCCTTCCAATCCACACACAAGAAGGTAATTGACAATGGAAGCCACGTGTTTGCGACTTTCAAAGGGCAGCGCTCCCAGATTGTCCAATAACCGAGGCACCAAATGAGACATGGAGTCTCCCGTCAACGCGCCCACGGTGGCTCCTGCCACAGCCGGAGAACTCCGACGACTTTCCTGGGAGGACGTAATGCGCCGCTCTTCGTACAGCAAAAATCGTAATCGCGACGACCGCGCCTCCAAAAATTTTGCCGCTTCTGCCGACGACTCTTGCTGAAGACAAATCTCCTTGAGATTCTCGTCCATGCCTGTAATCAAGGCTCCCACATCTTTGCACGAGTCCACGCCTTCAATGCCACCCTTCTTGCCAAAGATCAGACCGCCCGACAGCCATTCGAATGGACCCTTGTTCTCGGATGTCATTGTAGCGTGTCTCTCTGTATCCTCCTTTTCGTACTGTCTTTTCTTTTTCGTCTCCTACTACTACTGTAGCTAGTAGATCGTTGTTGCTGAATTCAATAATAACACAACAACAGAAGCCTTTTGCTCTGATCAAGCAAGGAGTAGAGTAGACCGCTGTTTTGCCGGCTGTTGGGTCCTGCTACCGGTACTGTATTACCAATATACAACCGTAGTCACATGATAGAGGGTATCAGTCTTGGGGGAGTTGTATGCGCTGGTGGGACTTGGGGTGTACTCTTACTAGCGCCGGCAGTGACCGATTCCCTCTCCCCTAATCAGTGCTAAGTAAGAATATCATTATTGGGGTATAGAGATACGCATTGGACATTGAGAGTATTTTGCCGGGGAAACCAGGCATTTGAGGGTATCCGATACTACTCAAAATAGTACTGTGGGTTGTATCGGCACCCCAAAATACAACTTTTCGCCTAAGTATCTTTACCAAAATACAACTTCAATCGTACGAAGAAAACTAGTCACACACAAACGTTCCGCGAAACTCAAAGACTTAATCGGAACGCCTCTCTTAGTACTGAGAGAGGGTAAACCCAGAGTACTGCTCCGAACCAACGCATGTATCCCATGTAGGACAATGTACCAAGTCTACAGCCGCCTACAGGATGTTGGCCGTTGGAGTGTCGGAGGCAGTCAGTTTTCTTCATTCCTCTCGATCCTCACAAATTTGGGTATCGAAAAGGCGAAAGCTATGGCTATTTTGTTACTCGCTACTTCGCCATTTTGTTACACCCAACTTCGCTTTTTGTTACTCTCGCAGATTTGTCGACCATGGCGAGGAAGCGCAAGTCACTTGATCAGCAGTACCGGCCGGCCGTTGCCAGGTTTATGGGTTGGAACATGGTCGTCACTATAATAACAGAAGAACTTTACACAGGTATGTCGCTCCTTCGCCAAATCGCTCCACGATTTCACTCTGCCGCTCGCTCACACCATGGTCATGGTCGCTCTTCTTCATTTTTCTTCAGGAGAGTTACTAGATAATTACCCCTACTGATGTCGCCCAGTTTCAAACTTCCTTGCCTATGGAAAGATCAACCCAGGCCCAATGACCGCCCCACCCACAAGAGACTACCACTCTTGAACAATAAAAGAAGGCCATCAGCCACTTCCATCCGAACCACCACGCACATGGGCTGTTGGTCCCAATTTTGGGAATCCCACTCGATCCAGGTGTGTCACGAAGTGATCAAAGCTGTGAAGAAGGCTGAGGTCAGGAAGCAGGGCAGAAATCCAATGTCAAGAGGGATTAAGATCCGGGAATTCCGCAAGACCATTCGCATTGTGAACGCGATGGAGGAGCGAACATTGACACGACGATCAAGATCCCAACCATGTTGAAGGTTCAGTTTCACTTGATTGGCCGCACTGATGATTTGACCAACATGGAGACATTGGATCTGCCACGCCACTCCAAGTTTCCAAAATCGCTCTTGAAACCAAGGTATCTGGAGCAAGAATGTCCAGGAGGAGCGTGCTTGTCCAACCAAATCCTGCTGGGTGCCGCTGACCCTGACTTTTGCGTCCTGATTGCCTTGGCTATTTGGATCAGACTCGTCTTGAGAGGGTACACGGTGATCCAAGTTTCTGTTTGGCCATTACCGTGTTCGACGATGAAGAAGCATTCCTGGCCGCCATCGAAGATCTGGACAACGACGAAGACTCGATGAAACGACGATTGAGACGGAGCCTGACGAGTCAACGCCTGGTACCAACGGGCTTTGAAGAAGGCTTGGAAGGACCCTGAGTTCGTGGAGCTTGCGGCTCAAGTCCAGGGTAGCCTCGGTACCCACAGTGTGCGCAAGCTGCCTCCAACCTACGCTGCTGAGTGTGGGATACCCAGGCCGAGAATGAGACTCGTGGTCGCTGGAAGGAGAGAAAAATGGACACATCGTCCATGTTTACATCAACCTGGAGCAGCTTCCCACCGACGCCAAGGTTGCTGGAACGCTCGCTGTTGTGGTCCGTCAAGTACAGCATCAAGGCTGACAGCGGTGTTGACCATGGGTTCATCGGTGAGCATGTTTGTCCGAAGATCTGTGACTTCTTCGCTGACGACCCAGCAACAACCGTCCGATGGTGCTTGGTCCTGCCTTGCTTTGGGCTGCGATGGAACCTGGCTTGGAGCATATAATGACGGCTGAGATTCGCAACCGCATCCAGACGGAGTATGCCCAGCTTCGAACACTTTGGATGAGGATCCTGGGCCGACTACAACCCAGTGGCGAAGATCCTCTGACAATATACAAGGTAGCCAATGATTGCACATTACTGAGTTTGCTCCCACCGCCCAGGTCCCAAGCTGGTGCTGAGCCCTTGTGTGGAGGTGCTCCTGGTGGTGTCAACATGGAACAGCTCAACCAATTGCTTGCTCTCCAACATAGGACTCAGCAGGCGATCGAGGAGGCCCAGCAGATTCTTGCACAGGACATCAGCTCCTGAGGGGCTATGTCTCTACGAACATTGCCATCGTGAACAAGAATATTGGGATCAACCACTTCCAGTGATCGCGAGGGTGGTGCAACGGTGCTCCAAGGCTTCCTCTTCCTGGTGCGGCCGGTGGAGCTGGCGGCGGTGGTGGTGGAGCTGGCGGCGGTGGTGGAGCTGGCGGGGTGGTTCTGCTGCAGCTGGCGCAGGTGGCGCAGGACTTCCTCCCCACCACCACCGAGGAGTCCTGGGGTTTGGCCCGTCCTCCTGCCGCAAGGGCCCCACACCCGCTACCCCCAGCCAGCTTCGAAGAAGCCTTTCAACTCTACGAGTTGTGGGACGAGTGATCAAGGGCCTGAACGGGAACAAGGCCGCATGCGAGTTACTGCTCGTGAGCGCGGCCGCGTCAAGGACAAGTTCTGCCGCCGCAAGTCATGTGTGGGACTGTGTATTCGGTTGATGGCCAAGGGCTTCGATTGGAGGGCTGGGTGACCGTATCTATGCCACCTACGGGTGCTTACGGTCACCCAGATCATCAACAAGTTCAAGCACGACAAGAAGAATCAGCCCACCGGCTTCCACCCACGCTTGCGTTGAGCGAACTGCCTTGGTGGTACCCAGCCTACAGCGCGATCCTGCTGTAGGCTTAGCAAAAACAAATTTTATATGTTTCATTTTAGTTTTAAGAATTTTTTGTGGTTACTGGTTTTCTTGTTGTCTTTTGTTATCTTGTTTGTGATCTGAGGGACTTTGTCTTTGCCGTTCGTGCCGTTCGTGCGGTAGTACTAGTAGTTTCGAGCGAGTTTGCGTTTTTCACGACTTTGCGAGTTTCCAGTGACTTGGGATCTTTTGCTTGGATTGACTTGGTTGCGTCAGTGATCTTCTTTTGCCATCTGCCTTTTCGTTTTCGTGATTCCCTCGAGCGGAAGATTCCCTTGGTGGATTCAAAGCAGGATTCCGTCCTTCGTTTATACCAGTATCGATGTTCCAGTGAGGAAACGTAAGGAAAGGTCGAAACACCCAAAACAAAGGGAAAGACAGGGTAACACGTAGAGCCTGGTACTCCATGTACACGGTTGTATTCCTGGTTTGTTAGAGGGGTTATATGCCAATGTCCAATTGGACCTCTTTTCCAGTAGGGATAAGGCTAAACTCAAAGGGGTACGTGGTGGTTTTGACCGTTTCCTCACAATGTCAATGATCGGCCTCTTGACTCGACTCTTGACTCTTGACATCTTTCGTCATTTTCCATCACCCAAACCACCCTCCTCCCTTGTAGCAACCTGAAGTTGTTGTCATATCAAAGGAGAAGAATGAGAGTCTGCAGTTCCATTGCTTCCATCGGTCTTGTGCTTTCTGCCGCTTTGTTGGCACCAACCAGTGCCTTCACTTCCAGTTTCAATGTAGCGGTACAGCGACCAACACCAACAACCACAGCCTGTCCCCAGCTGACTACAGTGGTGAGATTGCAGGAATCCAAAGAGCCTAATAATATTGATTCAACATCAGCAGCAGAAGCCAATGATACTCGACGTGGATTTTTCAAGGAAGCATTTGGTACGGCAGCCGCTCTGGCTCTACAGACAAAGACAGCAACAGCAGCTACCGCTGCCGAGGAACCACCAAAATACAATACGGCCAAGGATATTCCCGAGAGCCTCATTGACAGTCACCAATATTTGGTTGGATACGTCGAAAAGGTGATTGATGGAGATACCGTGAGAATACGGCATGTACCCAATGTCCAAGCATTCCTGACGGCAGTCGCAAACAACAGCAACAAGACCAACAAACGACCGGGACCCCTCTCGAATTCCACCATTGTGGTGCGAATGTACGGTGTAGACGCACCCGAGACGGCCAAGAAACAAGAGGAAGTATCACAGCCCTTTGGAGACGATGCCAAACAATTGACCAAAGATCTTGTCTATCACAAATTAGTGGCTGTCAAGTTGCTTCGAAGAGACAAGTACAATCGCATTGTAGCAGAAGTCGAGACGTACTGTGTCTCCAAGTCAACTTGCGACTCTACCGATGTCTCTGTGGAGCTGATATCCAGAGGGCTGGCGACACTGGTACGTATCGTACGGTAGAAGTGTGCTGGTCGTCTTTTTGTTTTATAGACATCTCATCTTCTATCTTCTCATTGCTTCTTTGTGGATTGGCTTGGGCTTGACAGTATACTGGTGGTGGAGCCGAATATGATGGCAAGAAAGACTTGCTGAAAGAGCGGTTGCAAGCAGCCCAGAAATCAAAAGTCGGGATTTGGTCGCTCGGAGACGAGATGGTGACACCAGCCGAGTTCAAACGTAAAAAGCGCCAGGAGGAACAGCAGCAGCAATAGTCATGACAATTCACGCCGAGTTGACTTCGGATGTTCAGTTGCCATTGATCGTGACAGTCTACCGTACAACACACAATTATTGAATACGATACAGCTCTATCAAAATAATATATATATAGATATCATAGACAAAAAGTACTTGTACAGATCGGATAGGACAGCACGATAGATCCAGCTCAGGCGATAGGGTATCGGTATGCATAGATTGGCCCGTCACTGAATAATGCAAAGTTCACAGTCACAATCATTTCGCTTTCCGTCGTTGTCATCCAAGTAGGCAAAGGTCTTCGCGACGTCGACCTCGTGTGACATCCATTTGTCTTCCTGCTTGCGGTTTGCAACGACGGCACTTTCGGCGCTCTTTTCTGCACCCAATTCCCCACAATGTCCTGTTGCCACCGGCGGTTTGGGGCAATCCTCTTTTTGTGCTGGATCCTTCAATATTGGAGAATCATCAGTTGCAGGAGGTGGATTGGTGACATCGGGCAGTTGATGCACAGTGTTGGTTGTTGGCTTATCAGTCTCTACGGCTTCTGCGACTGCAACAGGGATAACTTCCTCCGCGCTTTTCTCAGCCTCTTTCTCGGAAGCCTTTGGGGAGCTGCTTTTCCGGGTAGAAAACACTCGGGCGAATGAGTTCCGTAAGCCTCCTTTTTTCTCATTTTCCACGGTCGACATGGATGTATCGTCTGGATGCGCTTCTGGCTTTTCTGCATCTTGTTGTTTGTTGCGTGCTGGGCTCTTTGTCTTGCTATCGCCTTTGAAAAAGCGACTAATTAGCCCTTTCTTGTCATCTCCCGAATCTTTGAGATTTTTGCGACTGTTCTGTCGCTTGACAAACTTGGCAATTCGGCGCTCTGCAGGCACCTTCCATCCTTTGCCATTCTCCTGAAGTAGTTTCTCTCGGACTTCTTTGGCTGTTAGGTCCTTGTCAGACTGTGGGAAAGAAAGAGGTGAAACACAACTGAGCTCGGGATATCTTACATCGCTGTCAAATATCAGTACCAGTACCACCATTTCCCCATGAGCAATAACTTTACCTTTTCCAATACCTCGGAAACTGCAAGCTCAAGTTCTTCAGCTGTCGGATTGTGCCGCATTTTGCCACCAAAGCTTATGCCTCAAATAGTTCAATTCTTAGAAATGACTTCTGGGTAGCATACCCTGCTAGCTAGCAAGTAAGTAGAAGGCTAACCCACACAAGGTCCAACTCTGCTGCAGCTTGACCCCGTCTCTGGTTGGATCAATTGTGTAACTATCGTACTCCCCTTTTAACATGCCAAGGAATGCAACAGCGTTGGAAGCGCACAGCTGCGGTACGGTATGGATAGCGGGAGCTTGCATGTGTGGGGTTTCGTGAGAAAAATCGATGCCATTCTTTTTCACTCGAATGGGTCGAATGTCTCTTTTGTGGGGCTCAACGCTTCTATCCACACAGCCAGCCAGATCTTGGTTGGCCACATGCTCTTCAATTGACACGAAAGCAAGGAACTGGCAATATGATAGTAACGGGGCTTTGCTGGATCCACAGAGACATATATGTGTAGCTTTAACAAAAGGCAGTCCAAACCCTCGGTAATAGCTAGCTAGCTAGATACATCTCTGGTCCGGGCCAACGAAATGACGTCCTGGCTAGCTAGCTCGTGGTGGCCCCAACTACTTCTCGTAGCTCAGTACCGGTAGCTAGCTAGGTTCAGGCAATATCGCAAAAGATTCTAGCAAACAGGCTTTACAGTTATTATGTAGCCCTTACAAATCCAGGCAGACTGGTCACATCGGCGTGTCGGCAGGCAAGTACCGACAAGCCGGAAACACCAGCCGCCAAGATACATCACGGATGCATTCAGTTTCTACAAATTCTATTGCTTCCATTGACATTATAGTTCCGTTGTTGGGTCTTCTGTTACTTGCCACCTGTTTTCAAGTGGAATAGAATAGGCAGAACAAATCCATCAGAAAAAACATCACTCTTCTGCAAAGCCGTTTGATCCAAGCAACACCCATACTTACCAGGAGATTTCGAATCCAAACCAGCTTTCGGCGTCGATTTACTCTTGAGATGAATGCGTCGACGATCAAGCCGAGACACACCACTTTCTTTCTTCGCCCGTGCTTTGCCCGAAAGCACCTTCTTGATGGAATGGCTGGCGCCCTTCAGAGTAAAACGCTTTCGACGGTCACCATCACCTGACTCTGTGTCGTCTTCCCCCTCGATCTCATCATCGACTTTGACATCTTGTCTTGCGCTCGGGGTCAGGTCGACCGTGCTTTCCTGCGTCGAGTCGATGTGTTCACCCTCTGAAGTTTTCACTGCGCTTTTGGGTGCTGGCTTTGCAGCACCTTTCACTGGTATCGCTTTCATTCTGGAAGTTCTCTTTTTGAAACCGGCGCCAAGAGGGGCATCTCTATTGGCGCTTAGAGGCACATCCATACTCATGTCTGCGTCGTCTAATGCACAAAATAATGCAGTTTGAGAGCACATTTTCACTGAAACAAAATCAACATCAAAACGACTTACCTGAAGTTTCATCCTCCATTCCATCGCTGACCCTTCGCGACGGCATCTTCGCATTGGATGCGCTACTGTTATCTGACATCTCTGGCCCTCCTCCGGAAGGCGGCGGAGTTGCTAGTCCACGGTCTGAGGTCTCTTCTTGATCATGATCGTGACTGTGAATTGCCTCAGATTCTTTTTTGAAGTGCATTTTCCGCCTGTCAAACCTGGACACGCCCTTCTTTACCCTGGCTTCCCCCTTCAATACTTTTTGGATCGAATAGCTACCTCCCTTCGAAATGAATTTGCTCCTCTTGTCAGCTTCTTCCAAGATGTCAGCATCCTCATCATCGAGATCAAGATCAAGATCTGACTCTTCGTCAAGGAGATTTTTGGGTGAAGTTTGCTCGTCGGGCTCATCGTCGGCGCTTCGACTTGGAGGTTTAGGCGAGTCCTTGTCAACGCTCCTGCCTGGCGCACTTGGCGGATCGTTATCGAAGCTCCGGCTCGGTGCCCTCGGGGCATTCAAAGACGACCTCACCGAGCTCTGCGACCCAGCGCCTTGCTCCACCTTGATCTTTCGCCGGTCAAATCGGTTAATTGCTTCTTTCTTCTTCTTCATGCTCCTGGTTGACTCATCCCCGAGGACCTCACTGCTTCCGGGTCCCGCGTTGCTCGCGCGTAGTCGTGCAATCTCCGCATCCATGGGCTTTTCCTTTTTCCCTGACTTGCGTCCCAGTAAGTTTCGAATGGAATTGCTCGCGCCCTTGAGTGTGAACCTGCTTCTTCTATCCACCTTTTCTTCGTCGTCCCGAGCTATGCTATCATCGGGCATGGGCGATGATGGCTCGTCCACCACGGCAACAACATTGTCGGTTCGCTCAGATTCGTCAACCAATCCTCTGCCGATAGATGCACTCTTCAGTTGTGACGTTCTTCTTGCCATTCCAGCAGCAGCCTTCTTCTCTTTCTTGGCTTTTCCAGAAAAGATGTTTCGAATGGAATGGCTCGCACCCTTCAGCATCATCTGCTTTCGTGGGTCTGATTCAGCTTGTGCCAGGAGCTCAAGCTCCTCCTCGTCAAATTCCTCGCTGTCATCCTCTCTCTTGAAGGGCACATTCGCAGCTTCAGTGCTGCTGGTGATCTCAGCGCTGGACTTCCTCATTGGGCGATGAATCGCATGATCTTTTGGGGCCTGGCGGGCCATTTCCCCATCATGATCCGGGTTTGACCCAACCGGAGCATTCCCAGGCACCTTCGGGTCGTTATCATGGCTGTGGATGGCTTCTGACTCCTTCTTGAAATGCATCTTGCGGCGGTCAAAGCGAGTGACGGTGGTTCCCTTTGGTTTCCGGGCTTCCCCGCGAAGCACCTTTTGGATGGAATGACTTCCTCCTTTCGTCATGAACTTGCTTCTCCTGTCGGCTTCCTCAATAATATCCGCATCATCCTCATCAAATTGCATACTGGCATCCAAATCATTTTCTTCATAATCAACACCACCATCCAGAGGGTTCTCATTCGACTCCGGAGATGGCCTTGGTGGAGGCCTGGGACGCTCGTCTGCTGCAGAAGCAGCTTGGAACTCCTGACTGGCACTATCACGATTGAAATGCATCTTCCTTCTGTCAAAGCGATTGACAGTGGTTTCCTTCGGTTTCCGGGCTTCCCCTCTAAGCACCTTTTGAATGGAGTGACTCCCTCCTTTCATCATGAACTTGCTTCTACGGTCAGCTTCCTCAATGATATCATCATCGGTATCATACTCTGCATCTTCTTCATCACTGTCATCGACCATCTCTCCCTTGGTCTGGTGGGTTCTGGGCTCATCTCTGTCATGGTCATGGCTGTGGATGGCTTCCGATTCTTTCTTGAAATGCATCTTTCTGCGATCAAATCGAGTCACTGTAGGTCCCTTCTTCGCACGTGCTTCTCCTCGTAGCACCTTCTGAATGGAGTGGCTGCCTCCTTTCATCATGAACTTGCTTCTTCGGTCAGCTTCTTCGACGATATCATCATCAGTGTCGTACTCTGCATCTTCCACATCAGCAGCACTGTTGTCAACCATCTCTTTATCAGTATTCCGGGTTCTGGGTTGTTCTCTGTCATGATCATGGCTGTGGATGGCTTCCGACTCCTTTTTAAAGTGCATCTTACGACGGTCAAAGCGGTTGACTGTAGTTCCCTTCGGTTTCCGGGCTTCCCCGCGAAGCACCTTTTGGATTGAATGACTTCCTCCTTTCATCATGAACTTGCTCCTTTTATCGGCCTCTTCAAGAATGTCGTCGTCAGTATCGTAATCATCACCACTGCTGTCTGTCATTTCCTTAGGCTGGGCCACAGCCCTTGGCGCTGGAGCACTCCTTGTTGGAGAGCTTCCAGTCCTTCGCTGGGCTTGGATCTGCCGAATTTGCTGATTCTGGTATGGTGATAGCAGGCTGGGTACCTCCCTTCTTGGTTGACTCTGTGTCGTTGTTTGGCCTCTTGGTTTGGCTCCGCCAGCAGGGGGGTCGTGGTCATGGCTATGGATTGCTTCGGACTCCTTTTTGAAATGCATCTTTCGACGGTCGAAGCGGTTGACTGTAGCTCCCTTCGGTTTCCTGGCTTCCCCTCGAAGCACCTTTTGAATGGAGTGGCTGCCTCCCTTCATCATGAACTTGCTCCTTTTATCGGCCTCTTCAATGATGTCATCATCTGTGTCCATCTCAGCAGTATCAGCGGCACTGTTGTCAGCCAAGCTATCATCAACCATTTCTTCTTCCTGGTGTTTAGCAGCCGCCTGCCCGTCATGATCATGACAATGAACAGCTTCAGATTCCTTCTTGAAATGCATCTTCCGCCTGTCAAAGCGAGTGACTGTGGACTTCGGCTTCCTGGCTTCACCACGAAGGACCTTTTGGATGGAATGACTACCTCCCTTCATCATGAACTTGCTCCTCTTGTCAGCTTCCTCAATGATGTCATCATCGGTGTCAAATCCAGCATCTTCCACATCGGCAGCACTGCTGTCGCCAACACTGTCTACCATGCTACTATCAGCCATCACTTCTGGCTGGCGCGTTCTGGGGCTCTTTCGGTCATTGTCATGGCTGTGAACAGCTGCAGACTCCTTCTTAAAGTGCATCTTTCGACGGTCGAAGCGGTTGACTGTAGCTCCCTTCGGTTTCCTGGCTTCTCCTCGAAGCACCTTTTGGATGGAGTGGCTGCCTCCCTTCATCATGAACTTGCTCCTTTTATCAGCCTCTTCAATGATATCATCGTCCGTGTCAACATCTGCAGCACTGTTGTCTGCCATGCTACTATCAGTCATTTCCTGACTTTGGCCTGCAGCAAGGTGCTGCTGGTCATCATCATGACAATGAACTGCCTCTGATTCCTTCTTGAAATGCATCTTCCGTCTATCAAATCGGGTGACACCCTTCTTCGCCCGGGCTTCCCCTCGAAGGACTTTCTGAATGGAGTAGCTGCCTCCCTTCATCATAAACTTGCTCCTCTTGTCAGCCTCTTCAATGATGTCGTCATCAGTATCCATGTCAGCAGTATCAGCACCGCTGTTGTCTGCCATGCTGTCATCTACCATCTCCTGCGGCTCCTGTCTGTCATGGCCCTGTCTACGGACAGCTGGTGACTTTTTCTGGAAGTTCCTTCTGTCGAAACGAGTGACAGCAGCTTTCTTCTTCGACCTGGCTTCTCCTCGAAGTACCTTCTGGATTGAGTGACTGCCACCTTTCATCATGAACTTACTTCTCTTGTCAGCTTCCTCGATTATGTCATCGTCTGTATCCACATCGGCAGCGCTGTAGTCAACCATGCTATTGTCAACCATGCTGTCATCGACCATTTCACTAAGTTGAGCCGGAGCATGAGGATGAGTCCATGATCTTCTGCCAGTGGCTGTTTCCAAATAGAAGAGCCGGCCGTCACTGGGGTCCGGAGTTATTGTCCAGCCAGGAGGAACAACTGTAAACGGATTGCTGGTCGCAGGAAGAGACTTGCCATGGCCTTCTGATTGGTGTTGCTCGTCATGGTCGTGGCTATGAATTGCCTGGGACTCCTTCTTGAAATGCATCTTCCGTCTATCAAATCGGGTGACACCCTTCTTGGCTCTGGCTTCTCCTCGCAGAACCTTCTGAATGGAGTGGCTTCCTCCTTTCATCATGAACTTGCTTCTCTTGTCTGCCTCTTCAATAATGTCATCGTCCGTGTCAAAGTCGGCACCACTGTTGTCAAGCATGCTGTCATCAAGCATCTCTTCAGTTGTTGCCGTTGCCGTCTGTTGCTGTTCATGGTCATGACTATGCACTGCCTCTGATTCCTTCTTGAAATGCATCTTCCGTCTGTCAAACCGAGTGACAGTGGCCTTCGGTTTCCTGGCTTCTCCTCGGAGGACCTTTTGGATGGAGTGGCTACCACCCTTCATCATGAACTTACTTCTCTTGTCGGCCTCCTCAATGATATCGTCATCAGTGTCCAAGTCCAAAGCACTGTTGTCAGCCATGCTGTCATCGCCCATCTCTTCGGTAGTTGCGGTCTGTTGCTGTTCTTGATCATGACAGTGAATTGCCTTGGACTCTTTCTTGAAATGCATCTTCCGCCTGTCAAATCTATTGACTCCCTTCTTGGATCGGGCTTCCCCTCGTAGTACCTTCTGAATGGAATGGCTGCCGCCTTTCATCATGAATTTGCTTCTCTTGTCAGCTTCTTCAATGATGTCATCATCCGTATCCAAATCAGCAGCACTGTTGTCAGGCATGCTGTCATCAACCATCTCTTCAGTTGCTGCCGTCTGTTGTTGCTCATGGTCATGGCTATGGATAGCTTCAGACTCCTTTTTGAAATGCATTTTCCGTCTGTCAAACCGAGTAACAGTGGACTTCGGTTTTCTGGCTTCCCCTCGAAGGACTTTCTGGATGGAATGACTACCACCTTTCATCATGAACTTGCTCCTCTTGTCAGCCTCCTCAAGGATGTCATCATCAGTGTCCAAGCCATCGTCTTCTGGCTCTTCTGTTGGTTCCCTCTCAGAAGGCTCTCCGTGCAGCTCTTGCGCTTTAGTTTTTTCACTGCCGCTGCTTTGATTGGGTGGCTCGGGTACTTCGTTGTCGGGTTCGCGCTTCTTCGCGCTAGTAGCTTCCGCGCGAAGACGTGCTGCCTCTTCTCGATGCCTCCTGTTGATTTCCTCCGGTTTCAACCGAGGTTTTTCCGTGGAATGTACGGCTTGTGATTCCTTTTTGAAATGCATTTTACGACGGTTGAATCGGTTGATGCCCCCACCGTCTTTCTTCTTGCCCTTGCCGGCAAAGAGATTTCGAATGGAATGGCTGCCTCCTTTGAACATGAGTGACCGGCGATCTGCTTCCGCCTCCAAGGCTACATCGGAGTCATTCGCATGGGAGCTGCTTGGTTCGTCGTCGGGTTGTATGCTAATGTTTCGTTGTGGTCGCTTGGGCCTGCCGAATTTGTTCTTTTTCCGTGCAGCCGCTCGCTCTCTTGCCTCCTCTTCGGCCTTTAATCTCGCTTCGTTCATCTCTTGAGGCTTCGGTCGCGATTGATCGGTGGAATGGACGGCATCGGATTCGTGTTTGAAGTGTAACTTTCTCCGATCCAAAGTGGAGCCTCTCTTTTCTTTCTTCGCCTTTCCGGACAGTAGATTGCGAATAGAATGACTAGCTCCCTTGATCATGAATCGGCTTCTTCTGCCGGCCTCTTCTTCTATTTGTGAATCGGTAGAGTCAACACTAATGGATCTCATCGGCGGTGCAGGCCGTGGTTTGGATTGATCGTCAGGATCATCGGCATTGTTGTTGTCGTCGTCATCTTTGGAGGAAATGTTTCGTCGGTTGATACGAGAAGGACCAGACTTCTTTCCCGACCTCGCTTCCCCCTTGAGTACTTTCTGGATGGAATGAGTTCCACCCTTTGCGATGAATTTGCTGCGTCGTTCGACCTCTGCTACGAACTCCTCGTCATCGTCGCTATTGAACTCGAATTCAACTTCAACGTTCTCACTGTAGCTATCACCTAGTGAATCCAGCACGTCGCCGCCTACAGAAGGTTTCTCCGACGCCGACCTTTCGGTCCCCGAGCGTTCCGACACGGAAACTTCGCTGGCATCTTCCATCCTTTGAACTTTACCTTTGGGTCTAGCAGAGGGCACAGCCTTTTTCTTGAACTGCATGCTGCGTCGATCAAACCGTGAGAAGCCTTTCTTGGCCCTGGCTTCTCCCTTGAGCACCTTTTGAATGGAGTGGCTGCCACCCTTCATCATGAACTTGCTCCTCTTGTCTGCCTCTTCTACAATGTCTGCATCGTCGTCGTCGTCATCGTCATCGACGCCGTTTGCGTTCAGACTAGCGTTGCTGTTATTGTTGTTTTGGGCGCCAGGTCCATTCATGACCTTGTCAGTATCGACCTCTGCAAAGGAGCTATTCCGTAGGGGGGTCGTAAAATTCGTCTCGCTAGCTCCCCCCTTGACTGCTGCACCTGGCTGCTGCTTGTTTTGTCGAAGTAGATCCTCCGTGCCGTCTGTACTATACGTCCTTTGGGGTCTCTTTGGCCCTCCGGCAGCCGTTGTCGAGTCTCGTTGCATTCTCTGTGTTTGTTGTCGTGGTGGTTTTCCTACAGCGGGAGTGATAAAATCATCACCAGCATGGTCAGAAGTGGAATTATCAGACGAATAATCATTGGAGCCTCTTCTTCCGCGACGGGGCCTGCTTTTCTGAGGAGCTTTAAAGTGCATCTTTCGGCGATCAAGTCGAGTGATTCCTTGCTGTTGTTTGGCCGCTTTTGATTTCCCAGACAAAATCTTGCCGATGGAGTAGCTGGCCCCCTTCACGATGAATCGACTCCTCCGATCGCCGTCTGAAGCTGACCCTCGAGAGGCCCCGGATCGCACAGAGTCATCATCATCGGTCGGAGGTCCAAACTCACCTCGTCTAAGATTGTATTCGTCCACGTATTTCGCTACACGGTGCTCCGGAACATTCCAATGGGTGTAGCGTTCCAGCAGAGCTTGCAAGACTTCCTTTGCCGAAGGAGTCGAGTTGTCCAGCTACAGTATACAGAGCAAACAAACACAACAGTGAGATACAGTACGATGACCGGTTGACGGACGGACGAAATAGGGGAATAAGAGCTTCGAATCTCCGTTTGTTGTGGCTTGTGGACTACGAGTAGACGATGGAGCCGCTGTAATGACCATTCCTCCTCCCAACCACTACCATTGTGGTCTCCCTATCGCTTCCCTACCCCGAGATCCAGTCAAATGGATGACTCGACTCACCTCAATGAGAATGTCTGCTACTTCGTCGCTGAGTTCGTCGTTCGTTGGCACGTAAGGACTCTGAGCTTCGGCCATTGCTTGGGATAACAACAACTGATCGCAGACGGATCCTGGAAGCTATCGTGGGTGGTAATGCCCAGAGCTCAAAGGTAGACAAACAACAACAGCAGAAAGGCTCTCTCGCACACAACTTGGCTTGTTGATTCTCCATCCGCTTCCAGCCAACAGTGAGTGCTGCTTTGAGAGGTTGGAGGCCAGACGGACCCCAAGAAATTTGTTTTGGTAAAATTTTCAAGAATAAATCAATCCAGTGACTCTTCTAATGCTTAGTGACCGGCGTGACTGTTCAATTTGCTCTGAGTACCGTTACTTATCTCTTTTTTACAGCGTCCTTGTTTCCACCGTCCACCCCCGAAGCCGGGAGCAAGAAGCACGAGCACGAGACCTCCAAACCACCGAGGCACCGAACTGGTTTCCACAATAGCAAGCAACAACAATGGACGCCGTCAACCAAGGTATACGGTCCATCAATGATGGCTTTGCCTACTTGAAGAGCAATGCGTGGCCAATTCTGTTCATGTTGGCGCTCTGGTTCTACTTGAAGCCAAGAGGTGGGTAGATAGATGCTTCTTTTGTTTTCGTCGAAGACTTTCGAAGGTTCGTTTCTCACGCTACCGTTGTTTCTTTCTTGACTGACCCTTTATATTAGTCATGGCGGCCATGGACGATGCCAAGACACGACGTAACCCGCAACAGATTCGAGATTATGATAACGATCTTCGCCGTGTGCGACAAATGCAACAACTGCAGGCAGAACAAGACGCAAAAATCAAGGCGCAGAAGGAAAAGAGTTCAAGCCAAGAAGTCGTGCCACAAGAAAAAAAGAAAAAACCAATCCCAAAGAAGCCAAAGGCGACGACCAGCAGCGCGGAGAGTTTGTCCATGAATAATTTCTCCTCTCCATCCTACAGGTGAGTTGAGTTGTGTGGAGGACGACAGAAATGAGAAAGCAGCAGTTTGCACAAGGACGGTTTGATGTGCAACCCGTTGGAATGAATTGAGTAATGGTTTACCAACCTCGCCCATTTTGTTTTTTATTGTTGCAGACCACAACGTCGACAGGTTCGAAGAGGGTGAGGACCGTAGTCTCGTGATTCCAGTGGTGGCGACAGTTCAAACAGGAGTTTTCTGCTTATTCTCTCTAGCTATTTGTCGAGGGTAACAGAACCATGAAAGCCACCAAATCAACAATTTACTGTAATCACGGGGCGCCAGGTATTGGAAATGTGTGAGATTGGTTGGATGGTGTGAGGTGAATGACGCTGCCTCGTAGAACTTGCTGCTTCGTTCGAAAAGAAGAAAAGCTTGTTGCGAGGTCGCTGAGATACCCACAATAATTTACCAAACGTCCAAGCATCATGCATCTCATTTAGAAATTGCGTTTTTAAAAATTCTATCTTGAAAGCAAAAGTTCACTCAAATAATCGGGGAACAAACGAGTTGTCATGTCTGCGTCCATCCGTACCGTACTTGGGTTAGGCTGCAGTACCGGTACGTATGGCCTTTAACTAGCTAGTGCTGACAAGGCAAGCCAGGTGACGATGATGAGGAGCCATTCCAAATGATGCACACAGCAACCTCCCGCTTAGGTTTGAAACGGCAAACCACACTGGCCAGCTGTGGGGTGATTATGGATCCGTGTCATTTGGACGGTCTTCTCTCGAGGCTAACCATACGGTACAAGGCCAAGTACAATTCAACAAGTTAGTTTAGGTAGCCGGTAGCCATTATTGTATGCATCTAAGATTCAGGTTCTTGTTTACTTTTTTCTATTTGAACGAGAGCAGCAACTCCAGCAGAGGAGAAGAAGGATCAAAGAAATTCTCCTTGTCGGTAGGATTGTAAGGCCCGTTCCAAGCAGCCCCCTCCACTGCATTATTGTTGGTGCTCTGTCTTGCGTTGTTGTCGGTAGTGCGACCGGCACCTTTCGCTTCATTTTTTGTGCCAGTTGAGGGCGTGCCAGGTGGAGTTGTATTTCGTTCCACAGCACTCGAGAGAGTCATGTAAGATTGAGCAAAAGTCCACTTCACACTACTCCACAAGAAGCACCGTCTTGCAACATTGTTGTTCTCGGCGCCCTCGAGTGGGTCGTAAACAACGATTGGGTCAACAGTCAGCATACCTGTGACTGGATCAATGTTACCAGCGCTTCTTCGTTGGATGTAGGGTGAGAGGTGGGTGTAAGGTGGGCATTGAGTAGCAATCTCCCGATGATGCTTGCCCGAGATATCAATAGCTGTAGCATGTGCGTCAAAATGCTGTCCATAGAACAGCAGAACATGCATCAACAGCTTGCCGGGAGTTGTCTCTCCTGAGCACAGGACTTCAATGACGTCATTAAAGCCCTGGGGAAAGACAGATTGGTTGGAAGAAATAGCTGGTGATTCGACGGGTTCTGACGAGTAGTTGTTGAACTTTGATGTCTTCTCGTCGGCTTCAATCTTCCTTTCGGGCTCGTCCGTGATAGTTTCTTTGGAGCTTTCGTCGCGATTCTGTTGCTTAGCAGTTGCAACAGATTCTGTGGACTTCTTTGTAGTCTTTTGAGGCACAGTCTTTGTTGTTTGGTTTTCACCCTCGGCGGGTGGGCTTTGGTTCTGGTTCTGTTTTTGTTTAGCTTTCTTTCCTTGATAGTTAGCATTTGCACCCTTGTTTGGTGCCTCATTTCCCTGCTTCGGTTGTGGCTGGGACGCTGGTGGCGTTTGCAGTGGAGTTGCCGTCGGGGGCGTGGTCTTCACAGGAGGGGAACCAGCATTCCTTGCCACAGCGTCGGCGAAACTGCTTGGCTTGTTCGGCTGAGGTGACTTCTTTTGCTGTGAGTTATGATTCTTTCCGGCCGCAGCTGAGTTCGCGCCTGCCTTGTTCTTCTTGCCCATGGCTATGGAAGCCCAAGAGTTTCCAGGAGTTTTCGCCGGCTTTTCCGCTGAAGACGACGAGTCTGCGGCACCACGACCGGCATTGGGTTGGGTTCCTTTCTGGTTCTTTCCTCCGCGTTGTTGGTTTCCAGTCTGTGCTCGCTTCTCTTGCGGTTGAGCTGCGGAATTCTGGTGGGGATGCTTCGGTTGTTTCTGTTGTTTGGCATTCTGGTTTGAATGTTGCTGCGGCTTAGGCGACGAGTTGCCACCAGTGTTATTCTTGGCAGTGGCAACGCCCGACACAGTCATGTCTGCAGTTGCCTTAGAGTCAACGGCAGCAGGACCGCCCTGTTTCTGCTGTGGCTTCGCTTGACTTTGATCTGGCTGTGGTGAAACCTTTTCAGCCTGCTTCATCTGGTTGTTGGGTGTACCGGTCAATTCAGAGTTGCCACCGCCGGCTGCGACGACCCTTCGTTGTCTCTCCACTCTTTCGAGCTCTTCGCTGATGACTTTCCTCTCACACAACACCGCCAGCACCAGCAAAAGCAATGCGTAACTGCTCAGACCACCGGAGAAGGGTTCATTCAGACGTCTCTGCGCCAGAAGCTCCTTCACCACAAGAACAACCTGAACAAACGCTGTGCTTTCCGCTGCCAGACCTGTTTCCTCGCAAACATTTTGAATGACACGAGCGGAAAACTCAGTGGAACCAATTCCACCGTGCTCGGGACCTTCAAACGTAATGTCAAGTTTGAGCAGACCATTGATTACATCTGCACCTCTCCAAACAGGGGTTGACATTGGAGCCTCAAAGTGCGGTCCGTTCGTCTGGGGAGCTTCGCCGCTGGATGCCATGGCAACCGGGGCCCCATTCGGGTCCCGAGCTTGCTGCATCATCCATTCCTCTCCATCGACAGCGCTGTGAGGTGTGGCTCCTGGCAGCCTTGACGGATCCGCCAGCACCTTTACAACAGGAACGCTTGCAGTGGGGATAGCCTTCACGTGTGCCGCCCACGGCTGCAACTCCAGCTCGGCTGCAAGTCGCATAACACGATCTGCGTTGAGGTGCATCGGGACGTACTGGGGATGCGAATGGCGATGTCCAAGTTGCTGATGATCATGGGGCATTTTGTCCGGGGACATGTTCTCGCTACTGAAAGAACTAGTTCTCTGCGGTGAAGCCTGGTTGTTCATCGCAGCCTCCATGTGGTCCAGACCGCAAACGACAACGTCAAGATCTGACGACGGCAAGTCAAGCAACGTGGCACAGCTGCCGTAAAGCTCGACGTGAGAATGGCCGGTCCAAATAGCCTGGAGAGTGGATCAACACGAGTTAGAATCGCCAGTCTAAATACAACGTCGAAAACCACTACAAACATACCGACACGGAGTCTTGCAAAGCAGCAAGCAATGCTCCCCGCTCCCTTCTCCGAGCACTGAGCGCTGCGGCCCTATGCGCCATGAACATGTGCATGTCTCGCGTCAATCTGTCGCACACGTCAAGTAGATGATACCCAACATCAGCCTCATTGGAAGTAGAGGTGTGATGGCGTCCGTGGCTAGCGTGCGGGGCTTCCAGGCTTGATGCAACTGAAGACGACGCGCTGTTTACATTCCCGGGGCTCAGGAGAGTGGGAAGCGGGGGCGCTGGTGATGCATTCTTTTTGACCGGAACGGCGGCCTGATCTGGTTTGCGATTGTCGTCGGTTCCTGTAGAACTAGAATCGCTACGAGTGATATCGATGTCCTTGTTTGGTGCCCTCCTTCGTGGATCCGAAACAGCCGAGACAGTTTCCGGAATTGTTGGTGCCGTGTTTTGGTCTGCTCCGGCTGTTTGGCCCTTCGTGCCTTTCGCCGGGGAGGCGGAAACACTCTTTTGGGCTGTTCGTGCCGAGCCAGGTGCTTTCTGTCCTGCACCCTGTTGGCCAGCGTTCCTCGCTTCACTTCCACTTTCCGATTTCGCGGAAGTGGGTGGGCTCTTGTTTGCTTCTCCAGCAACCACATCCCGCATTGCATCTTTTTTGTTCGAAACAGCGGGAAGCTTTTTGTTCGGTTCTTTCCAAGCAGAGGGGGGTGCCTTATTGCCGCCCACATTCTTGACAACACGAGCTTGCTGTTGTTGTTTACGTTTCTTCACTTCTTCGTCAACGGCATCAAGGACTGAGGACAAGATTTCACGAACCATCTTTCCGTTTGCCACCCGTCTCCTGGATTCCTTTGTGCGCCTCGATTTTGACTTTTTCGGGCCGCCACCGCCACTGTTGTGATTTTGATTTTGATGATTTTGCGGTGCTGCCGCGTTTGCCGAGGGCGAGTGCGTCGCTGCCGCAGGCGAACGGCCAGTTTTCTTTCTGTTGCCGCGTCCCTTTCCTACGACGACAGTTTCCCATTCGTCATCGTTGTGATCCTCTGAAGCAGCAGCATTAGCAGTGGCCGAAGCAGGCTTTTTTGTTCCCTCGGGCTCGGATTCTGCGCTCGCCGGTTTGGCACCCTTGCCCGTCGACAGTGCCACGACAACAACTCCCTGCTGCACACGAGAACCTGATAGATCACCCTTGCCCTTGCTGGTCCTTTTGTTGGCAGATTCTGCCTCAAGCTCGTCATGATGTTTCGTTGATTCAGTTCGTGTGGATGTGGTTTCTTCGGCGGAGACTGACAACGGAAGCTTTTTGGCATCGGGGCTATTACTATTTGCCTTCTTTGCATCTGCCCCTTTGGCATTCGTTTCGGTTGACACAGCGCCAGCTGTACTAGCCACAGAGGTGCGGCTTTCGGCGGGCGGCGTTTCTTTCGAAGCTTTCTTGGATTGCGCCGCAGGTCCCTTGGCATTCTTGTTTTCTTTCGGCGGATGATGATTCCCTCCCTTCTTCTTGGGAGCTTCCTGCTTTACGGGTGCTTCTTCTGCGCCATGCTTTGCTCCTTTACCTTCCGTGGTTGTAGCATCCTTGTCTGGGGTGGCAGCATCAGCAATACTATTGGTGCTGTTGTTATTAGTAGTAGTAGCAGCAACATCATCAGCACCGTTATTGCCGTTGGTACTATTCTTTCTTCCCCTCTGTGTTTCGAAAGCAAAATGTACGAAATACGAATTGTGTGAGAAATCATTCAAGTTCAATTTCACAACATTTACTTTAGAAAGATCGATTCGATTCGATTCGATTCTCACTCACCTTTCGAGGTTTGTTGCGCCTCTTCTTTTTGTTCTTCGAGTTTGACCCTGCTGTCGCCGTCGGAGAGGGTGTTGCAGTTGTGGTATCCATCCAGTCTGTGTTTTCGTTGTTGTTTGGAGTCTTTGGCTCCGATCCTGGTGGAGACGATTTGTTGGGGGTAGTGTCCTTGGTGACAGGGTATGACTTTGCATAATCCGAGAACCGCCGGAGCGAGTTGGTCCAGGCGTTGTCCCATGCTTTGAATGTTTGTTTGCTGGAAGCTTCTGCCGTGGAGAATATTCTGACCAGAGCCGGTAGCGGTGTCAATAGCAAGTTCTGTGGTACCTTTGCATCCGATCCTTTGGTCCTGTTTCCTCCTAAGGAACAGTGTCCTGTGGATATCATAGGTGACATGATACTGTTGAGTTTGGACTTGTCGAGTGTCTGTGCTAGCTTGGAAAGGTTTTCCAATTGTGCGACGAGCGCCTCGAGTTTGTCGCAGTCTAATCTGCCAGGCGTCCAATCGGGCGAATTATGATTGTTGTTTCCCGCGTTGTTGCTGCTGTTGTTGTTGTTGTTGTTGTTGTTGTTGTCCCTTTTGTGGTGGAACTGCATCGTCTTTCGAAATGCCAGGTAAATGGCGACTTCAATTCTGACGAGTAGAATCAAGAAGAGCAGTACCTGGGCTTTGTTGTCGGCGGCATGGTGCAGCAACGCCCGTAACCGGCCGAGACACATCTTCTCGACAGCATCAATCTTTTCGTCCACCATTTCCTCCGCCAAAAAGTCATTCGACAACAAGTACCCAGACGACGATGACGAGACGGTCTTAAAGATGTTGTCCAACGCCTTGGCCGCGTTTCCCGCCCCCTTCTTTTTCATAAAGGATGGATGTAGAGTGACATAGGGCACATGTCCCGTGACCGGTTCCATCCTAGCTTCTGCGGGAAAGGTAATCGCAGAAGGAAATACCACACACACATTCCCGACAATCTCTTGAACCTCTAACGTGACAACACCCCATTCCTTGACATTGGCTTCAATTTTCCCGCCGGCTCGCAGAGCGTCGGTAGTGTTGTTGGTGTTGTCGACGACTGTCCCATCAGTCGACGACGACAAGGCAGTACTAGTAGTCGTAGCTTTAGGCGCTGCTTTGACCAGGGCTGTTTCGTTCATCTTCTTTGCGTCACCTCCTATTCTAAAGACCTCGGCTTCCGACGCACTTGCAGCAGCCGCCTTGACATCATGAGCAGCAGCAGCAGCGCTGTCTTTTGGGACTACCACAACCTCTACTTCTTCCTTGTTGTGGTTGTCGATGTTGTCGTCGGCGTTGTTGCCAACCAGCGCCTCCTCCGCCGAGGGAAGGCCAGACGTTGCAGTTGCAGTCGTAGCAGATCCAGCGGTCGACTCTTTCTCGTTGTCAGCAGCAGCAGCAGCCGAGTCTTTGCCGTAATGAGAGAGAGTCTCCGTCCACTCCTTCTCGTCCACTGACATGTTCACGTCAAACGTAGCTGTTGTGTCGTTGTTGATGATGTAGTTGATGTTGTTGTTGTTGTAGCACGGCACAGGTCGCCGAACAGATCCAAGAGATGAAAAAGCGCGGCAGCAATTGCAATCGGATGATGAGAAGCCACTTTCTCAGTAGACAACAAATAAAATTTATAGCCCTCCTTCTACTACCAGTAGGCAGACGATACGATCGATCAATGAGGAATCCCAACGACGGACAATATAGACTGATGTGTGCTGCTCTCTTTACTCAGTTGAGAGAGAGACAAGACACTTCCAGTCGTCGTCGATGTGGTTCAATGAATATCGTATTTTCAATCGATTGAATCAATCAAAATCGAGAGGCAGGCAATCCCAGACCACACACACACAAACAAACAACGGCAAACCACCACAGCCACCTCTTTCGCACGCGATGAACGAAAATCTTGGGCTTCATTGAAGCACCAAGTCTTTCTCATGGCTCTCAGCGATACAAAACGGGTACTGAAATGGGCACAGTAAAAATACTTACCAAAATTAGGGTTAGGGTCTACCCCCAAGGAAGGAAGGGAGGATGGTGATGGAAGCAGGGTGGTGGTCGCGGATGATAATGATGAGACAGCTGATGAGGATGGAAGGACGAAAGGGCGCACCAGAGGAACATCACGAAAGGACATGGCAGCAGCACACTCTTCTGCTGACAGTGTCTCTAACCAGGAACGACCATCCACACTATTGATGTTTCCAGTACCGGTACCAGCCATAGTGGAAGAAGAGCTGGAGACCACTTTTTCCGCCTCTTCGAGGTCGGCAGCTTTCATCTTTCTGTCCTCCTGCACAAGAAAAGTGATGGTCCGTTGTCGTCTCTTGCAGCACTGATTGATAACAACTAACTGCAAAGCAAGGATAAGGAAACGTCGGTTCTGGGTTTCTCTCCCAGAGCTTGTTGTCTGATGATATTATGTGCTCGGTACAAGTAGCTTCACTCCAACACCTCAAATTGGCCGTTTCCTCTCTACGTAAAGATTGTTTCTTTCCTGCCCTCGTCAAGAACGAAAGTACGGTATACAGCAAACTATGGAACCTCTCTGTTGCTAGTGCTAGAGCAAACAAATAAATCAACAAGTCTCTTCTCTCTCAGGTCCCAACTGCTCTCGTTGAAACAGCTACCTCGTCCACTGATTTTTCAAAACAAGCCGATGCGCCGATGGATTCGATTCTCATGCCACTGCATTTTCCCTCCAACTATTCTCATCCAATGAATCACGAAACAAAAACAGTCCCTTTTAGGTCTATGCCTCGTGAAGACTATCTTTACTTATGTCTTATCGGAAACTTTCTTAGCTAAGTACAAGTACACCCACACGTTCCCGTCGATTCAGTGAACAAGCCAACCAAGTTGCTTCATTTTTGTTCTGAGGCCTCGCAACGACACACTCACGTCACCACGAATAAAACAGGAGGATCGTTGTCAAACTACAGTGCTACATAGCTACTCCGGAGTCCGGAGTAGTGTCTTGCCGTCATTGCTGTCATTGCCGTCAGTATGTTCCTTTAGGGTATCCTCTATCCATCCAACACATCATTGTATCTTTCGATACGCACTAGATTGTATCATCATCAGCCAGGACAAGCATTTATGTTGCAGGTCTTTGGTACCAAAGCATTGCATTTGTTTATACCGGAACAATCGTGATCAGAGCTTTTTTCTTGGGGTAGTTGATGGTAACTTCACAAAAGTCCAAAAAGTTGGTACCCAAAATGTTCACATCCTCAAAGTGAGCCCTGGACAAATGAGCTTTTGTGCGCTGTCCGTTTACCAGTATGAAAGCTTGATCTTCTGGTTGATCTTCCAGATTGACTTGCAGTGCTTTAAAGGTCTCGCCCGTCAAGAATGTGTAGTACACGGTAGTACAGGTACCTATTTGGTTTGCAATACCCAAAGAAGGGAGCGTTTGCTTTCCTTGAATCCAGATTCTGGTACGGGATAGGAACTGTAGCTACGGGCGGTAGCTCGACTTTCTCCGTTCTTCCTTTCATCACCGCTTGCTTCTTGCTACGGTAGGCTAGGAGCGCTCATCTCTATCATATGAATACAGGCTAGTACCGGTATGTCCGCACCTAATCTGGACAACAAAAACAAGAGTGTGCAGAACTAGCTACTAGCTAGAAGAGGTGCGTTCCGATAGAATTTATGTACCTAGTAGTACTGTATCGTACTGGTATGGTTACAGTACCGTAGCGGCGTAGCGGTTTACCGGTAGTACCTGTAGCACATGTAGCATACCGTACAGTACAAAGTATGCATTCGTGGATACTACAAACTGTTGTGCATGTATCGCAAGGGCCACAGCCAACGCCAGCAGCTCATTAACACTGTTCACCTACGGCCCCTTGCTTCAAGTTCCATAACTTGCCCTCGCTATGCATATAGGTTCCGTCCCAGGTACCTAACCTTCCAAAGGTCAATAGCAATGCCGCTGTTGATGGTGATGACCCTCACCATGGGATAAGATCCACTGCGGCCATACCCAACAACCACTGGAAGAGGGTCTGTCTGAGTTTTCGAATTCAAAATTCAAACTCTCTTTGAGGTTTTCGCGAGATGCAAAACCAAGGCAAAATTGGATATCCACATGAAGACAATCCATACTTTGGCGTTCCATTTCAAATCGCTTCATGCTTTGACCAGTTACAACGACAATACTTGTGTGATCAAAATTCAAGGCTTCGTCATTCAATTGCTTCAGAGTGCAACAACAAAAGCAACCTGCACAAACGAGTTTCCATCCATAGTTACTGCACTATTAGTACGGTGCCAATGGTGATTGCAACCATGAGGTTGAAGAAGGGGCGCACTTTGTTTCATCGCGAGGGAGAGATGGATGCAAGCAAGAACATGGAGATTGTAAAGAGTTTTAAGAGCGTTGAGAAAGTGTCTGATGAGATGTACCAGCAAGGGCTAACGCAATCGCGGGCACTTCTTCAAGGTGAGTGCAAGGCTGCTTTGACCTCCCATGATACCGGTAGTTGAACCTCACACGAAGCCCCACTCCCTCCATAGGCCTTGCAAGAGCATTGTATCGCAAGGAAAGGCTGTCTGTCTTGAAGCTTGCCCTGATTGCATATGACCACGACATTGTAAGACTGTACGACACTCTCTGCTATGCCGGGGGCATGACAGTCCTGGTGCGCTGCCTACAGGCCACGATGACTTCAGTTACGTTACATCCGATTGAGATTCGCCAGATGTGCCAATTAATAGCGCTCGTATGCCTACGCTGTTCCGATGATGCGGCGATCCACTGCCTCAGTTCCATTGGAACTGAGCTCGTGCTGTTGTTGTTCTCCATTCTTCTGAAGACGGAGGTAGGAAGAGAGGCATGCAGCCCCATCCGATTGGTGATAAGACGAATCGCGCGCCTTGAGCTGTCCTTGCCAGCGATTGAACACTCAGAGCGACTCCTGAAATTCCTAGAACGGATGGCTTTGCTTGGAGCTGGAAACAAAGACGCCTCAGCGGAAGCGCTTACATTGCTGGCTGGGTTGACTGTTCATTCCGAAAGCAAGTTGTACGTGATGGAAAGTCGAACGTTTCTCGATAGCATCATCAAGTGCAGCCAACAAGAGACGACCGAGGTAATGGATCAGATCGCCAAGGTCATCGAGAACTTGGCTCTACACGGCAACAACAAATCGAAACTTACCAAGCAGCTTATTCTGGAACGGTTGTTAGCAATGGCATCGCCGAGCGAGAGCATCGAAACTCGAATTCATTCCATTCAGGCACTGAAACAAATATCTATTGAGGCTAGAGGGAAACTCTTTATTGTTGCCTTTGAAGGGGGAGCGGCGTTGAAGGCGTTGCTGTCTGCTGCAGACGAGAGGGAACTCCAGCCATGTGTCGTAGAGACCTTGCTCAGTCTCACGTGCAAGTACACCGCATCTTCCCTTGTCCATCACTCTGGTCTCATCATTACGATAACCAATCTGGTGCGATCCGAAAACGTCATGGTTGCGGAAAAGGCGGCACAAGTCATCAAACGCCTTTCCACCCACACCTGCATACAGAAACGAGGCCATGCAGCGTTGTTCGATGCAATTCTCGCGACGTCAACGTCCAAGTCCCGCAGCGTCCGACACTGGATTGCCAAGGCAATGCTGGAACAGTCTCGTCTGTCCGGAAGTAGCTTTTTGCTGGTACGCTCACCCGATGCTCTAGAGAAAGTCTGTCAACTGGCCCGTGATCAACAACATGATGTCAGAGCTCCAGCAATGGAGACTTTACTGTCTCTGTCAGCATGCCAATCCAACTTGAAGAGGCTGTCGACAAGCAGCATTGTTTTCGATACTCTCGTAGAATCAGTTAGTGTCGGCCTTCGCGATGGAAAAGTGTGGAATTCAGAGGTCCGGGACGCGATTCTTTGCATCCTGAACTTTGTCGACGGACCAAGAAACCCGAGAAAGAGGGCGGCGAAACACACAGGAGTGGTTAAGGTGTTGTCGAAATACGGCATCTCCAGCGATGAGGACAACGAGTTGAAAAGGGCAGCCCTTCATGGCGTGATTATTCTCTCCGCATTGATGTAGGTATCGTTGCCGATTGTCCCATTTACAAAACTTAGTGAAATACTAGTATATTGGCTGACGTGCATACAAATATGCATATCTTAGGAGGAGGCTTTCGCGTTTGACGTGTTGTTGCCATGAGGGTAGAATCGAATCAAGCAAAGCACTCAAGTGCAGCTCGATGCACTCCTTCGTACCGGTAGCAGCAACTGGACCAACGCGGGTATCAAACGAAACAAGAAGCACTATACCAGTACTAAACCGAAAGTGCAGTAGAACGCGCTCCTTCAATTGACAAACACTAAGCACCAACGAAAAACAGGTCTATGCTTCCAAGTTCAAACAAGAATCAAGCTTCTTTCTCTTCACACAAAACTTCAGTACCATCAGCAAAGGCGGAAGCACAACAGCACAACAGGACGAATACATGTACTAATCCACTATTGCCATCACAACATTGCTCTTAGATAAACAAGTAGCTCAAACAGTATTCAGCAACCCTTCCACGCTTCTCTTCCGTGACACCAAATAGAAAACAAGCACAATCCTCCGCCACCAACTGGTATCCAACGTGCAAGCTCACCTTTATAGTCTGGATGACTGAGAAGAACAAGGGATACTTTTGTTCAAAGCGCCGGTTCGAATTGTTGCTTATGATGGGTCTTCCTGCTGCTTGCTGGAGTCACCCGATGTTTGTCGTATTCCATCACCGTCCTTAGCCTCCTGAAGTGGCTGTTTCTGCTCTGACGTGTTAGCAGTTTCCACCGTATCCTGACGTTGCGATTCCTGGTCATCCTTGGATGATTGAGGTTGGCTTTTTTCCAGAGGCTCAGTTGATTCCTTAGGAGGGTTTTCGTTCTCTTCCCCATCTTCAATGATCTCGCCTTCGTCTTCGGAAGAGTCATCGTTGTGAAGCGACCCTCTTCGGCCACCGTGGCCTCGTCGCCGCAATGGCTTTGTCTCTTTTGCCTTCTTCAATAATTCGTTGAAGTACAAGCGAGCGCTTGAAATGGGTTCTTCGGCCTTTGTGATACGACGAACTTCGGCATAGGTCTGTGGCGAAGCGTTTGCTTCTTCGAGAAGCGCCTTAGCGAATTCATCATATGAAGTTTGACTTGTGATCAAGATTTCCCCCTTTGAAGTTGGGTGCAGGACGAGTTGGCTGAGGACTTGCCGATCTCGCCTGTAAGTCTCGTCCCACTCTTCCGCGAACTCTTCGAAAATTTCTCTCGGTGCGTCTCTATCCTGCTCGTGAACAGGCTGGTACGTACCGTCAGATTCGACAATCCTTTCGACGTCTCGCCAGTGCGACGACGGCGTAATCTTTCCTTGCGCCGCAAGCTTTTCGAGAGAATCTCTGTAGGCATCTCGTTGCGCCTTCTCCGCTCGTCTCCGAGCATCCCGAATTCGCCGTCGTTTGTCATCTTCTGCCGCCTGCAGCTCAATCGCGAAATCAGCAAAGAATACTTGTCGATCCGAGTCACTCATGAATGACGACACTTGGAAACGGCTATCATGTTTGTCAGATTCGCTCATGGCAGCCAGAAAGCTGTTCCACGTGGACAAGAATGAAAGAGTGCCCGCCTCTTCTTTCTCTTTGAGGAACGAATTGAAGGCGTCCTGGGCTTCTCTCTTTTTGTTTCGTTTTTTCCTTTCGTCGTGCTTTCTCAACTCTTCGCAGAAATCCAAGAAAAGGCTTTCCCGGGTTTCTTCGTCCTGGCGTACCAGAGTGAGAATTGAGCCCTGACCGGCATGTTGCATTGGGTTCTATTCGAAAACTTACCTGAACAGCGTAGAAACGATCGTCTTTGGCGATGCTATCTCGAACGTCCCCAAATCGTGAATTCCAGACAGAAAAACTAGCTTGTTTCGGCAAGGATTCACTGAGCAATTGCAAAAATGCGTCTTTGGCTCGAGCACGTTCTTGGCGTTCTTTGGTTCGCAACTCATTCGCCCGCTACAGAAGGAGGCATTCGGTCGGCTAAGCGATTCCTTGCGAAAGCACAGAATATCACAAACAAGTTCTTTTCCTTGCTCACCTTGGTTTGGAACTCGGCCATGGCTTGCTTTCGCTCTCCCGTGGTAAGCACAGCCTCACAATCTGCCCACCGAGAGTCCGAAGAGCACATTTTGACAACATCATTCCATTTTGCCGTCGGCAACACCCCCTTTGCCAATAGGAGCCCTTTGAAGGCAGCCAACGCCTCTTCGTTATTTCGAAACGGGGTTTCTTTCTCGGCTTTCATTTTTCTCTTTTTACGGGCGGATTCTCCAGTCGATGTTTCTTCCTCATTTGCATTGCTCTGTGCAACGATTGTAGCGGCGCTCAACGAGGAAGAAACAAGGCCTTCGGGTCTTTCCCAAGTAGTCGTTACACCGTTTGAATAGTACTTTTTGCCAGTGTTTGCATCGGTGTACTCTGCCCAGGGCCGAGGGGTGGAGGCAGCTGGGGCAGCCGCCACTGCTCTCTCTGTGCTGGGTTGTTGTTGCTGCTGCTGCTGTGCTTGGAGTTGGGACTGTTGACTGGTCACGAAAGTTGCCGGTTTGTTGTACGTACTGGTTTGTAGAATGGAATTGTGATAGTATTTGACCCCCTTGTCGTTGGCATACTCAGTCCACGCTTGATCTATTTGGGCTTGCGAGTAATGCGTGGTTGCTGGTTTTGGTGATGCAGCTGCAGCGGCAGGTGGTTGTTGCTGATGCTGAGGTTTCAGAGGGGGCGCCATGGCAACGAAAGAATTTGCCTGCGCATTATTTAGTTGCTGTTGGTGCCCATGGGGAGGGAACTGGTTGTGGGGAGGCCTCTGATACTGCTGTTGGTGACTTTGTTGGTGATGAGGTTGATTATGATGATTTTGTTGCATATTTCCATTCATTGGCGGCGGTTGAAGATGCCGAGGAGGACCCATGTGGTTGGGTGGTGGCATGCCAACTGGGTGTTGATTGTGTTGCATCTGATTGATATTTTGTGTTGGAGGAGGAAAAGGCGGCCTTGGAGGTGGTGGCGGCGGTCTTTGGTGTTGTAGCTGATGTCCAGGCGGGAGGTTGTTGTGTGACATATTTCCGTACGGCGGTTGCTGCTGCATTGGCCGCATCGGAGGCATCTGGTGTGGAGACAGGCCATTCTGAGGGTGTGCTTGTGGAAAAGGTGGTCTCGGTGGCGGCGGTGGAGGAGGAGGAGCACGCGGTGGCCCCATGTGTTGTTGATGTCTACCTGGCATTGGAGAATGATTATTATGATGATGCCGTCCTGGCATTGGCGGTTGATGTCCTCCACTCATTCCACGTCCAGGGCCTCCTCGACCAGGCATTGGGCCACGGCCCATCATTGGGTTCATTCCCCTTCCATTCATGGGCATGCCTCCTCTGCCGTTCATAGGCACCCCCCTTCCATTCATATTCATGCCTCGACCGCCCATGTTGTTGTGCATATTATTCATGCCTCTGCCATTCATTGGTCCTGGACCCGGGTTGTTGTGGTTGTGATGAGGCGGCTGCTGCATTCTACCAGGCGGTGGGCCACGTCCAAACATGGCTCTTCCACGGCCATTCGGTTGGATCCTTTGTCGAGGATCTTTCATCCCATGTGGATTTCCATGAGGCCCTCGATGGTTCCCAAATTGATTCATCCTGTCGCCTGAAGAATAGTTTACTAAGGACACGGCTTGAAAATGCAAGTCAAAGTTTGTCAACGAAGAATGATTGAATGCGATTCAATCACATGCGAAGTTGTGTCCGAGTAGGATGGCTTCGCTGGCCGAGGGTAAGCCACCGACAACTGGCACTGTGACCTCCTTCGAGTCGTAGACTTTTCTTTGGTCCCTGTTGCTGAAGCAATGTGATGGCCTTGCTCTTCTTGGCGATGAAGATTGCTGAGATAGAGTTCTGCAGATGCTGGTGTAGATAGTGGACGTTGTTGTGTCGTTGTGTCGTTGTGTCAACAAAGAGATCGAAGGAGTGGAGGGGAGATCACTGTCGATTTTTCAGTTACAAGAGATTTAGAGTGCTCTGGTCAGCAAGCGCAAAAAGATATAAGGTTTTCCCTTCGATCCCCTGCAAAGCTGTCACACTTTCATTCAGCCCCATCAGGGCCAAAAACCAAGAACTCAATCCGTTTGCTAGTGGTGGTGTCATTGATCTGGATCCACTCTGATGGAGGCTGCTATTTCATTGCAAAGCACATTCAAACCTCTGTACCTGGTAACTACGCTCGCTGCTCTTGATGGTACACCTCTAATGCATGTGGCAAAAGGCCGTCACTGCCAAGAAGATTTCCAGCTCCCAAGGAAGTTGGCCCCTCCAGTTTGGGCAAGTTCCCTCCAGGTGCTCTCTATCACCAGATGAATGACATCTCGAAGGTCTTTGATTCTGTACCGTTGTCAGATGCTAAAATATGACATAATCAAGCACAATTGTGCGTGCTTGAAGTTGGGCATTATTTGGAAACATTGAGCTGTTTCAAATCAATCAATTTCAAATCAATGGGCTCTTGCCATGTTTGTCAGAGACAAAGCTTCTGGCCATGTCCTGGTTGCTCTGTGAATTTTTCCACTCTAGTAGCTAGAAAGCAACACGACATTGCCCTTTTCATCAGTACCGGTAGTACATCATCTATCTTCCTAATGATTGCTATAAGGATTTATACCTATACTTGGACTTTTCCAACTGACTAATCTGTTGCTGTGTGGATTGACAATCCCATCTCAGGTACAGGGCTGCTAGCATGGTGACTGCATTGGATAGTGCCAATGCCATGTGATGCATTTGGTCGTCCACGTAGTCGTTTTTGACGGCTTCCTTTCGAATGTATTGAAAGGCAAATACTGCCGCCACAACCACAAGCGCGACAAACGGCAATATTTGGTGCAGCCCCGAATCTTCTTGAGTGGGCCTGGAAGATGCCACGATGCGGGTGGCACCCCAATGCAAGAAAATGCCCCCCACGACGTGAATCCAGCACCACAAATCTTGGCTGGCCACCCCGAGAATGAGACACAGAAACATGGCACCTTCACAGATTCTCGAGAATACATTGTGCATCAAATCCATTTGTTCGTAGGCTTCAATCCGTAGTAGCTCTATTTCCTTATCTTGTTCGACTTCGTCCATGGGTTCGACTTGTTCCTTTTCTTCCTGCTGGCGATCCTGTTTTCCTCGTCGTCGAGTGGTCTTATTATTGTTCTGGGAAGTCATGATGGAAGAATAAGAAGTGTGGATTTACGGTAGAGTAGATTGTTGCAAACAATAGATACTTTCAATTCCAAATGAGATTTCTATCTCGCTCAGATCTGATGGACGATAGCTTCGAAGGTGCCTTAATTATTGCGACAGGGTCGCTCAAGAGAACAAGAGGCAACAAGGATCAAAAGACGTCTTGAGTCTTGAGAAAGTCAGTCCTTTCGTGTTGCTGGCGGGAGTCAACTCAACAGTCACATCGAACCTCGATCTTCGACACACAACCCTCCAAGCAAGGCAGTGCATTGTTGTCTCTCACTGTTATCATTGTGGTTCAACGGCTTGCTTCACTTCCCACCCTGCACAGTTCTGTTGCTATCTTCTTTCTCATAACATAGTGGCTTGTCTTGCACTTCCACCCTCATCATCATAAGATATATCATTTTAAGAGTATTAGAGTCCATATTCCACCATGCCGATTCCACTGAAACCCCCGAGCCGCACGGATCCCCTCAACTTTCCCGTCTTTGGCATGTCCTGGTACGGCAACGCCGGAAACGGTTTGTCGTTGCTGGCGTACTGTGGAGGAGGAGGATCCGCCCGAACGGGTGTCAACAATGCCATTCTCGTGAAAGAACCAGACGGCAACACCAAACGAATTGATACCGGAGACAATGTGGGTGTGGCGCTCAAGATTGTGCAGAATCCAGTGTCGGGCAATATCTTTTTAATGGTGGCGCTGGGAAAGACGGTGGAGCGCTACAATCTTCCTTCCTGTGAAAAATCGGGAGAAATTGAAGTGGGTGGTGACGGAGTCAATGCTATCAATGTCAATATCATGACCAATCGATTGGCTTGTGGATGTGAAAATGGAGAAATCAAGGTGTACGAAATTTCCGATGAACGATTTGACGCCGAGTCGCTCCTGTTTGTCTGTCAGGGACACACCAACACAATCTGCAGCGTGGACTTTTCTTGTCGAGGAGACAGGATTGTATCGTCTGCCAAGGATGGTACAGCCAGAGTGTGGCAGGGAGAAGATCAAATTGCACTCTTAAAGTGCGAAGTACACGGAGGTTCCGACGAAAAGAAAAAGAAAAAACCCGTACCAAAGGGTCGAAAGCCTCCTCAAATTCTGGTTCGTGGGTGTGCCTTTGGTGAACTGGAGGGTCGAGTAGTCTTTACAGTGGCATCGACGCGCCGTGGAAGTGCCTTTTTGGGTCGATGGGTCGAAACTCCCGAAGGATGGGAATGTGAAAGAGTAGAGGTTAGTGATGTGCCAATCTCGGCCATGTCGATTTCGAGTGATGGATTCTTGTTGGCTCTTGGCTCTGTCAGTGGATCCATTATACTTTGGGGTGTCGAGAATTGGCGCCCTATCAAGACATTCAAGGAAGTGCATGATCTACCTGTCACTTGCATCGCTGCTAGACCCTATGATGTGCCTCTCATGAGCGATGAAGACGGATTGAGGTTCCACGCTATTAGTGCATCGGCAGACAGCCGATTGGGACATCTCTCGCTGCAGCCACCGCCTCCCAAGCCTGCTAGACCCGGTTCTTTCGGAGATTGGCTGAAATTCTTCTGGAATCTGGGTATCAAACTCTTCGTCCTGTACTTGGCAATCGGCAACCCTCTCTGGCAGGACACCCAGGAACGATGTTCGCACACATGGGCGAGAGGCATTCAATTGGGCAAGCTGGAACAGGTATATGAGTGTGTTCTTCATGAAGTATTGATTGCCCCAGAATCACTTCCAGGTGTCATGGTTGCGCCCTATTAACATGCGAACCGGAATGGAATTGAATCGAACTTGCACCTTCCATCTATCTACCACATTGACATGTTCCCCCGTGCATGGTTGTGTTTCCCAACGAGAAAACGAGGTCTTCCACTCTGTCCATTGCAACGATGTCGCCGCTTGCCTGGATCTGTAACCGTCGATCTTTCTCCTTCCTCCTTTTCCAGCTCGCTGAATAGATAAGAATCTAGATTATAGAGTGGTTCATGCAGAGTGTCGCCTTGATGTTTTGACAAAACAAACTATATACTTGGTCTATTACTGTATTATTATCATGCCTGTACATCATCTATACCTCAGCTCACTTTGCTTTGTGGCTGACGGCTGTAGTTAGCCTTTCGAATATGTTCTTCTCTTTGAAGATGCCTCCTCTGGGATGCCGATTGATCTCATCCGCAACTTCTCGGAGATTGCTTTCAAAGTGATTCTCCGTTCGGGGTTCGAAGTCAGAAACGACCCTCAAAAAGTCCTCCGTCATTCCCAAATTTCCCAGAATGTCAACGTGATCGGCACTTCTGGGCCCGCCGCGGAAAGGATCGTCGGGTGTGAACTCTTGCTTGTTCTTGTATTCCACGGTAACGACTTTGGTTCCACTTGGATTCAAGCCAGAATCCTTGCGTTGCCAAGCATCGCCGCAAATGTATCCCAGTGACACAATTGGCACACTGCCATCGCCATCCGTAAATCGCATACCGTGCCTGATGTTGCGGTCGGGATCATCGACTCCCATGTCCAGGACGAACGGGAGCTCTACGCTGGGACTGTTGGGCTTATCATTGCTGCTCTTGTTCACCGGGTTCGCCATCATGCCGACATTGCGTCCGCCTTCTTCGTGGACCTTGTAAAAGTAGTTGCGTTCCGTGTCAAGGCCAACCCCATAGAGGCAGAAGATCTTGAGGTTGGGAGCATAAGGGAGGGGTGTAATGGAAGCATCTAGCCATTCTACCTTTGGTTTGTTCTTGGGCTTGGCCTTGACATTGCCGTAATCTTTATAAAGGGAGGCTGACGAGAGTGATTCTCCAAACCCAGCGCCCCACTCGCGGAGAAAGTTGATGACGTTTCCGGTTGTTGCTTCCTTTGTCTGGGCAAAGGCAGAGATGGTGGCGTTGATACTTCCATCGTCTTCTGGGATTTCAAAGATGGTTTCTACTAGTAGAGGGCATTCATCCTCCGCCTCTTCGTCATCGGATGTACACTCCTCGGGTTCCTCTTTGTTGGTTTCCTCCGCATCGTGCAACAAAAGGAAAGGAATGGAGTCATAGGTTGTCCCTTCTTTGGCTGCCTTTACTCGATCCTTGCAAAACGGATCTTCGGGGTCCGAGACCCCGTAACAAACATCCGCTCCAATATCCCAGATCCTCTCTCCGCCCTTGGGCAACAGGCCCCAGAGGGACCCCCATGTATTGAAGAGGTCCTTGCGAAGCTTGCGGCCAAAGAACTGTTCCGTCATTTTTCCGATGGTCCCCATGATGACCGTATCCTTCATTTCTCCCGACAGGAGCGCCGAAGCCGCCTTGGGGACCCCCAAGTGCGATCCCGCAATGTTAATGTAGGCATGCACATGCTGGTCGACCCACTTTCTGCCACCACCGCCGCCTCCTTGGCTTTGCGGCGTGGTGACCCACTTGAAGAAAAAGTGCACCAACTGTGCGCCCATACTGTGCGACGTGAGTACGACCTTTTTCCCCGTGGACTTTTGCATGGCTTCAATCTTGTATTTGAGTTTGGTCAAATATCCATCTCGTTCTTCCAGAAGGGGGAAGGCCATTCTCCAATCATAGGGTTCAATGGACATGGTGCTGGGACTGTAGCCCAGATCTGCCAAGTTCTCCAGTCTGTCAAACATACATACATCATTTCAAGTTGGTTGTAGCGAAGAGAGAGCAACGAAAGTGATGGTTCTGTGAGACTCTGTTGCAAACCAAGCAAGCAAACAAACTTGTTGTTCTTGATGTTGTCAACTTACAACTTTTCCCACACCCAATAATTGGCCATAAAGTAATCTGCCGCTTCAAATCCTTCCGCCGCTCGGAGTCGAATCCCTTCCGGATCCATGCCCGAATGTGGATCAAGTGCCAAGTGTTCCCTCCAGCAATTCTTGTCGGCGAAAAAGGCTCTTGCGGATTCCAATCCGGTCCATATGCGTTGTCGAAAGTACTTTTTGGCACATTCTTTGCTCTGCCAAACTTCCAATCCGCTCGTGACAAATCCCGGAATCATGATTACGGGAAAGTTGGCCGTGGCACCCTGTTGTGCGAGTAGATACCCGGGTCGTTGGGATTGTCGTGTGTAATAGGTGGCTGCCAATGCAGATGACTCGTTGAACATGTTGTTCCAGTTTTCTTGCAACTGTGGGAGGACTCGTTGTGCCACGAGATCAAAGCGTTCAAAGCTCATGTCGACAATAGCGTCCCCTTCTATTAGAACAACGCCAAAGTGTTTCATGGAACTCGAGACAATGAATTGTGACATCCAGAGAATGGCGGTAATACCAAAGAATCGAAGCGAGGAAAGACAGTATCGACGACCCCGCAATCCATGGTACATGCCCGAGTTATAGTCGTCGTCGCCGAATAAGATGGAGTGGTTATCAACATCAGAAAGATTGGTGTCATTGGTGATAGAGACGATAACCGAAGGTGGATCCATCATCATCTTGTCGTTTTCTTCGTGTTGAGGTGATACCAAGGCAGGTATCCTACTGAAAGAATCTTCCATGGTCACACTGCTGGTTGTTCTTTCGTGGATCTGGTGTTGTTGTTTCATGTCATTTGTTGGTTGTTGTGGTGGAGCCCCTCCTTTAGTCTTGTTTCTTCTCTTGCTCTTTGACATGTTGATGTTATGATGCAGCTTCTTTTGGTGTCACCTTTGTTGTGAAAGTAAGTGAAGGTTGGTACCGTTCCGTAGTATGTACGGACCTGGATAGGTAGGTTGGCTGTAGGTAGAATCAGAATGCAATTGTAGAGAGAGTTGGGTGGACACAAGAATTCGGAAAATGTGAGGGGCACGATGACACCACTTCAATTTGGTTTGGAAGGCGACGTGTGAAGTCGAAGATCTTGGAGGATTTCTGACAAGCGGGAGTCAACCCACGGAAGCACTTTTTCTTCCGCAAACAGCTGGCAACGAGAGAGAAAGATCTTGGAAAGGGCTTCATCACCACACATACATGTACATGTACTCGACTCCGATAACGATAACAGTATCTTTGTATCTTTCCTTCTCTCTTAAAAGATACTAGTAGCTAGCTGGTAACATGAACCGCAGCGACGTGATTGGTGGCTCAGCGGTAGCCTTAACGGAGGCTCTACCGTTTGTGGCTGGAATACCTCGAGTGTATCTCGTGTCGGATGCGATCGATACCAATGGACGCTTCTTGCTCTACACCTTGGCGTCCCAAGTCTTGTCGTCTGCTTCCAACAACAGTAATGATAAGAAGAAGGGTCGAGTGCTATGGTTGGGATGCGGTCCTCTGACGCAGGAACAAATCCTTCAAGGACTTCGCAAAATTGGATGCGATCGAAGTGTCTTGGCGACATCTACCCAAGCCAATCATAAGGAGCCAAAATCATTGACCATTCGCAGTCTGTGCGTCGAATTATCCCACAAGATGCTGCTGCAAGATGACAGCCATCAAGATATTAACAAAGTCTTCATGAAAGAAATGATGCAGTTTGTGGATCAATGGCTACTTCTAGACAATAACAGCAACAATGAAATGGGCACTCCTTGGATCATCCTAGATGATGTTTCGACATTGGCAAACCTCGTGGGAGAGCAGCTCGTGTACCAATTCATTTTACAGTTATGTGCCAAGAGTCATGCTGGTGGTGATGGGGTAACAATGTCAACATCTCCCGGAGTGATACTGCGATGTTCCAACGATCAGGAAGATGAATCCTTACCAGTATATTCGGGAGCCTCCCTGAAAGGGCATCAGGCTTGGTTTGGAGCTGGGGGCGCTAATAATAGTACTCAACAACAACAACAAGCAATCCACAGTGAGGAACCTCCCTGGGAACGATCACTGGTGGAACTGGCAGACGGTGTCATGGATGTGCTGCCGTTGGCCAGTGGATACACAAGAGAGTTACATGGCCGCATTGTCCTCACCGAAATGCCATTTGGGAGGGGATGGAAACACAACAACAAGCAGCAATCTGATGCCGCCGCAATAAGGAATACGCACTCCAAAAAAGCATATCCTGCCATGCAGATTGTCAATTACTGCATCACGGATCAAAACCCAAAGATTGTGGCGTACATCATGTGAGACGTTCGTACGGTACTGTACGTGCTCTCGTTGTGAAGAGGTTGGGGAGAGTTTGGTTTTCAAGTGTGGAACTACAATAGATTGGGTTGGGATCCTGAATGGAAACGGTCCGACAGGGTCCAGTCTCATTCGAAAAACCTGACTAATCGACAACCACGGCGTTGGCGGGGTGGGGAACAATTTGCGTCTTACCCACCGTGTTAGTGACAGAATCATGATGTTGGTGGTACAAAGGTTTGCCTTGGTGGATACTAGTAGGTAGTGCAAGGTCCTGGTCTTGGTTTCTCGTGTTGGACTTGTAATCGAAGCCAGCTGGTGTCGGGTTACTACCGGTACAGGGCCGGATTGTATCATTTTTTTGGAACAATTGACAGGTGCAGACACTTATTTGGGGCCAGGTTTGTTTTGTGAGTGTTTCAAGCACAACGGTAGCTCATTCGAGGAGATACTCATGTATACATACACCGTAGGCATCCTAGCTAGCTTTATCCTTCAATCCACACGCCACGAAGAAAATATGTCGCGTCTATCTTACAGAAACTTTCTTCATGCATTGCTTGGAGTCCTAGCTAGCTAGAGAGGCCACGTTTCGTATGGTCCTTCCCAGCTTCCCGGTCATCAGCAAGGAGACTGCAAATTTATTTGTCTTTCGACTTTCGGGGTAGCAAAAGTGGTGCTTTGTGGATCAAATGTGCCATCGATGTTTCTACCGGTATCGTACGGAATCTTCAACTGACGTCATCCAACGGCAGGGGTTGATCGGAGGGTCCCGAAGGAGCTCCAACAAATCAGCCGCAAACACTCAGCGCATCGATCTTGATGCAAAACGAAGACAACGATCGTCAAGTCAGTGCTGTTTGGTCATCTGTTGGCCTCCACCCATCAACCGTCAGACTCGACTCGGAGCATCCCAACCATTGCTGCACACTAAGAGATGGGTTGAGACGTTGACAACTGAGCAACCAAACTAGCTAGATTCGATTTTCGAGACGGACGATACAGATACTGAGATTCCCTACGGTAGCATCGACTGTAGTGTACCACCAACAATTTGGCTCTAAAGCACAGACACCGTACCTTGATAAATCCACAACAACCAAAGAGCTGCTGATCTTCAGACAGCTATAACCCCAGTATGCGAAGATCGACAAGCCAATATCCAGGAAGTCGACCATGTGATTCCTTTTGGTCCATTGGATTGCTGCTCTTCAACTTATCCGTAGTGTGCACTGGTTTCCTGGTCAACTCGCCACTATCACATCCATGCTTGAATGCCTTTCCAAGCCAAGGACAGACAAGAGCTGCCTCGGATAGACGCTGCAATCTGCCTCCGCTAAACTCAAAGGGTTTGAGGAAATGGAACTTACTGCCTGGCAGGATCTTTCGAAAGAGACCCAAGCGGACCTCGTCGTACCTGATTTCCCTCGACAAACAACGAGGATACCACAGGAAGCCTTTGGGTCCTCTTGCCCAAATTGTCAACAACACAGACGTGAACTTGAGTCCTGATAAAGTGGCTGGGGCACTTGTTGGGAAGCTTTCCTCAGAAGCCTTCAAGTAAGTGCTGTTTGTTAGGTTGGTGTTGTATTGGCCACAGATGTACTAGTACGCATTGGTTTAACTTACTTGAGTTTCTGCACTTTAGAGAGGACTGTCGGCGAAGAAGCAAAGTCTATGCTTCAGATTGGACGGATGCATTCAAAGATATGAAGAAAGTTATCCCAGCTGTTCTTTTTCTCTATTTTGCATGTTTGTCTCCTGCTGTTAGCTTTGGGACTATTGCGTCACAAATCACCGATGGGTCCATAGGCATTGTTGAGTTTCTGATTAGCTGTGGAGGAAGTGGAATGGTGAGCTTCCATACTGTTTGTAAGGTTGATTGAGGTACCTTTGCCATCTAAACGTGAAGCTGCTTCCTTGGATCGGATTATCTTCCATATATAGCTGTATGCCGTGCTTTGTGGTCAACCAATGTCCTTCATAGCACCAACAGGCCTGACACTCGCCTTCATTTCAGGGTTGTTCCGGTTCTGTTCTTTAAACAACTTACCTTTCTTCCCGGTATACGCTTGGGTTGGTTTGTGGACAGCCTTCTTCTTTGTATCGATGGGACTTGCAGGGTCCAGTCAGCTGATTCGTTATTGCACGAGATTTACCGACGAGGTTTTCAATGCACTCCTCAGCATCAACTTTATCTACGAGGCAGTCAAATCTTTGAAACGAAACTTTCAGCTGGCTGATCCAATGAATCTGACAATGCCATTTGTATCCCTGATGACAGCTATGACAACCTTCTGGGCGACAATGTCAGTCACAGCCTTTCAGAGTAGCAAATACCTCACTCAAAAGGTTCGGACAATTGTCAAAGACTTCGGACCTGTGACAGTCTTCGTTGCCATGTCTCTGCTCAATCAACATCCTTGGATGCGAAAGTTTCATGTACCGACTTTGAGCGTTCCAAATACCATTGAGTTGGCAAAAGGAAGACAACTTTTCATCCCTCTCAATGCTCTTCCTTTCAATGTCAAAATGTTGTGCAGTCTCCCAGCTATCCTGCTAACGGCTCTTTTCTTCATGGACCAGAACATCAGCGTTCGAGTGGTCAACAATCCCGACAATAAACTCAAGAAAGGGTCGGCTTACAACCTTGATATGGTCGCCTTGGGATTGATTACCGGATGTAAGTTTTGGGATCATTTCTGTGCTCTTGGATCAGCCATCCATCTCATGGTTTCTTTGTCCAGTGCTGTCGTTGGTCGGGCTACCATGGATGTGTGGTGCCACAGTGCAGTCGCTCAATCATGTGCGGGCAATGACAGAGACACAATACAACAAAGAAACGGAAGAAGTGGAGATAGTGGGTGTAACCGAAACAAGATTCACTGGATTTGTGGTCCACGCATTGATTGCTTCGACGGTGGGATTGTTGCCCCTTCTCAAATTCGTTCCGATCCCTGTTGTGGCGGGTGTCTTCTTGTTCCTTGGTAGGAAATTGATGTCAGGCAACTCCTTCCTGCAGCGTATACGCGACGGCTTTACAGAAACAGACCGGCTGGAACCTGACCATCCAATCAAGATGATTGGGAGGACAAGGACAAACATTTTCACCACGATTCAAGTCCTGTGCTTGGCCGGACTTTGGGCATTCAAGGAATGCAACGCTACAGCAATATTCTTTCCCAGTGTTATAGGGATGCTGATGGTCATACGATCAGTAATAATGCCAAAATTTTTCACCACCAGAGAACTTGCTGCTCTGGGTGAAATGGGGGACGGTGAGCTCCATGGCGAGGATGAGGAGCTGCTGCTCCAACTGTAAACTAGCCTACTTGTAAGTAATTTGACCTTTGTCAATGGGTTTCTACCAAGAGTTTGACTACCATATGTCTCAACACTTGCTATCGAAGCCTCGAGAAACCAAAGGCTTTCTCCATGTCATCATTTGATAGCTGCATCGTTTCAGTGCCTTCCAAGCGCAGCAGTGTCAACAACACTTCTCTACCGTCATCATCCCCACTGGCCCTGTTGGTTGCAACCGAATCAATTTCGCCAAAGAACTGTTGGAGCCACAACGAAGCAAGCATGAGGATAGAACTGTTGTGCTGGGAAGAGGCCGTCTCTTCATGTACTTACCAGTATGCAAGGTGCGGCCGATCTCTGTCGAGCAAACAATGACCTCAAGATCGCGTCAGATCCTCCTAGCCACTTGTCTAATACATCTGCCACTCTGATCTTGCACACCTGGAGGCGGCGAAAGCCCCGTGGTAGCGGCTGTGTTGGAGCCCTCGTCCTCCCGCAAGAAACACTTAACTTGCTGCTCTGGGCGAAATGGGGGGCGGTGAGGTGAGCTCTATGGTGAGGCGAGGAACTGCTGCCCAAACTGTAAACTACTAGTAGCCTACTTGTAAGTAATTTGACCTCTGTCAATGAGTTTCTACTAAGAGTTTGATTACCATTCTTATCAACGCTTGCTATCGAAGCCTCGAGGAACCAAAGGCTTTCTCCATGTCATCATTTGATAGCTGCATCGTTTCAGTGCCTTCCAAACGCTGCACCATCCCCAAGCAGGCTTCCCGGCAGATCCCCTCGACATCAGCCCCCGTTGCTTTCTTCGTTGCCAGCTCATCGGCCAGAGCATCAAAGCTCAGTTTGTTTGACAGCGGTACAGTGGCCAGATGAATCTGCAGCATTTCCTTGATATCTGCTGCCGTGGGATAATCCAGATGAACGTGTTCCTCCAACCGGCCTGGTCGTAGCAGCGCTGTGTCTAGGTCATCCAAGCGATTTGTGCAAGCCACAACGAGCACGCTTTGCCGACGTTTGTCACTTGATATGCCGTCCATTTCATTCAGCAGTGTCGACAACAAGCGACCCATGACTTCTGTACCGTCATCATCCCCGCTGGCCCTGTTGGTTGCAACCGAATCAATTTCGTCGAAGAACTGCCGGAGCCACAACCAAGCAAGCATGAGGATGGAGCCATTGTGCTGGGCCAAGGCCATCTCTTAATGATGTACTTACCAGTATGCAAGGTGCCGCCGATCTCGCTCTAGCAAACAAGGACCTCAAGATGGCTTCAGATCCTCCCAACCACTTGTCCAATACATCTGCCGCTCTGACCTTGATCATTGGCAGCCCCAACGAGGAACCCAAGCAGGAAGCAGCAAATGACTTGCCGTTCCCAGACCCGCCGTGGAATAGCACACCTGGAGGCGGCGACAGTCCCATGGTAGCGGCTGTGTTGGAGCCCTCATCCTCCCTCAAGAAACGCTTCCAGGGACCTACCACGGTGCGCAAAAGACGCTTCTTTACCACAGGGTACCCACCGAAAGATTCCCAACTCAGTTTGTGGATTGCGGCCCAGTCATCCGGATTCAGTTCACCGTCAGTCGTGAAGGATTTGGGTTTGCAAACATCTACAGTCTCGAGTTGAATGGGAACATAGGTTTGCGCTGCATGCCTTAGATCATCCCATGACAATTCGGGGCGAAAGGCTCGGTTCACGTTGTCTTTGTGCTGCCAGGTAGTACGAGCGGATGCAGCGGTCCAAGCACCGGACAGAATCCGACGCAGATCTCCTGCAACACAGCTGACAGTAACCGGAGACAAGGCTTCGGCCCACTTCTGGACCATCGACTCATCCGTAATGCCAACGGTCGGGATAAGGGACCGCAGAATCATTTCTCTTTGCCTCTGTGTGGGCGGCAACATGGCAATTTTTTTTTCCAATCTGCCACTTCGAGTGAATGCCACTGGTAGATTGGAGGAGGACTGTGCCAGGCCCAAAATAGAAATACTGTGTGTTCTGTTTGTAGTACCGGTACTCTGCTGCAATTCGTCCATGATTTGAAGGACCGCGTTTTGCACCACCAATAGCTCTGGATTGGTATTCACAGAAACAGCGTCCTCTTTCAGAGAGCCTTCGTCTTCGGCGGCAAATATTTGCAAGTCATCCAGAACCAAGAGTTGACCGACACTAGTAGTAGTCATGGGTGGTCGCAGCATCTCCAACAGGTCCGACTCGTTAGCCCAAGTGGCTTGCAAGAGTAGATCTTGTGCCGAGACCCAGTGTACTGCAAATTGTTGTTGTTGTTTCGTCGAAAGTTGCAACGCCACACAGGATGCCAAATGGGTTTTGCCCACCTGAGGACTACCGGTGAGGAGTATCCCAGAGGGAGCAGCGGATCCTTGGATTTGAGCAAGTTGCAGGAGTATTTCCACAAGATCTTCATAGCCGGGACAATCGGTTTGCCACGACAAGCCTTCGGTTGGAACAGGGTGCTCCGAAGACGACTTTTGTGACTCGGCTAGTGGTATTTCTTCTTCGCAATGTGACAGTTCTAGTGTGCAGGTCTCGCAGTTGCCTATTCGATATGCGACACGATCCTGTTGTTGTGATCCAGTAGATTGTGTTGTAGCATCATCGGAACCAGGTAGAATGTCTGTGACAGTGGCAATTGCCATTCCAACCGGTGTGGGTAGAATCACGGTGGTACCAACCATTAAGATTCTCTGGTCTAGAAACCCAGCTAATGTCTCTCGGAGAACCTCACCCTTTTTTCTGTGGCAATAGTCTCTCAATTCTTCATCAATATACACCATGTGGAGGCAAATGGTGGATCCACGAGGTAGAGTCTGTGTGGATTCTATCCGCCGCGCTTTCCAATGGAAATGTGGAGGCAGGGTTGAATCATTACAGAGTTGAGCCGTGATACCGGGGACTATGAATGGCTTGACTCGAATTGGCAGCGACTCCATTTGATTTTCAATTTGCATATTGTCGCCATCTCTTGTCTCGTCTTGACTGCCACTCGCTGTACCGGTAGGCTGTTCAGCCCATGTTGCAAAGGAAGTAGTCAAAAATTCAAAAACTAAGGGATGAATGGAGATCTCTGGAACAAAAGGCTCAACTGTCTCAGTATCCTCATTCTCAGTATCAGAACCATCAGTAATGCCCTTATTACTTGCGATGACTGCTTGAACAATGCAACTTGTCAACTCCAATGGGAAACAGGTTCTTCCTGAAGGACTCGAAATTGGCGAAACGGAAACTTGGAACGCATCCCCAAACGCCACCTTGAGCTTCCTTGAATCAGCTTCTGACAAGGAAGCCAGATCCAGCAATGTCTCATCGATTTCCATTTCCCAACAGACCTAATACAACAATGCGTCTGGACTGAGGACTCTCTCATGGAGACCGTTCCTTTTTGTCCGAACCCAAGAGGGCAAAAAGATTTTGGGAAAAGTGTGCGTCGCACTCACTCTATAAAGATTGCCCTCAACGGACGGTGCGGATAAGAACTCGTTGCATCCAAGAAGAAAAAAAAAAGAAGGAGGGGGGGACAGACGGCCTGGATGACGTTGCAGGTCCCGACCTCTAACTACCGCATGTCTTATCTTTAATTCCCTTGTCCTTCCTTGGACGCGATAGATTGGTCACATCTTAGTTTAACTGTACTATTACCCTACCAGTAGCTTGTGGGAACCAAATATTCTTGAGTCTTGATAGAGTCCATCCGCATCATTTTAATCTTTAACCCTCAACCTCCAGTGCAATCGCTCCAGCGTGGAGAGGAACTCACTTTATTCGGAGGCAATGACAATGCCACCATGACGGGAGATGTGCCGCTGAAGCAATTCAGTCCTGCCCAACAGGCGTTCATCAAGTCAACACGTACTGCTATCGACCATGACCATCGTGCATTCCTGAAGGGGCATAATTGGAAGAATGTACAGCCATCGGGTGGCAGGAATAATAGCAATCTGTTGAACTCCGGATCCAAAAAAAGCAAGGCCGATTCATTCTACGTCAAAGGAATGGCAGTGTTTGTGCCGCACCTGTTATTTCACGGGCACATTCCAACCTGCCCACACTGCAAGAAGAACGACTACGTGGACGTTCTGAAGACTCGGTGGATCAACAACCCAAAAGTCTTGTTTGGTGTGCACCGGCAACGTTTTCTGGACACAGTCCTCTACCCATGCAATCTGTGTGGAAGACGTTTTGCTGGCTACAACAAGGAGAGTATGAAACTGGATTCTAGTATTTATGGATCAAGTTTTAACTTCTATCTTGGACATGGATACGCAGTTGATGATGAGTTGTACAGTCAAATTGTGCTGGAGGCCTCCACCGAATGCACAGCTAGCATCGCCAGACGGCTCAAGAGACTCGCATACAGTGCTTATTACAGCGATTTTGAGCTCTACCTATCGGCAGTCGGCAGAGACAAGATTGACTGCCGTCCCAAGAAGAAATCCAAGACAATGGATGATTTTGTTGTTGTTCAAACCGACGATCAATTAAGAAGCCTCCAGTCTGTAAAGAATGTCAGGGAGAACAATGCTACTCGAATCCGGCTTCTGCTGTCATCAGCACGGGCTAAAGCCAATGGAGACGTCCAATTCAAGAAAATGCTTGGTGATAAGGAAAACCGAAATCATTTTGGAGCCAACAAGAACATTCTTCCTGGAGTCGGTGGAACCAAATTGTGAAAGCTGATTGAGATGGGCATCAATTCCATGCAGGAATTATTAGCTGTGGACCCTGATGACCACCCCCGACGTTTGAGCAGCAAGATTCGCACCTGGCAGGGCAAAGTCACGTCGTATTATGAGAACCACCAAACCCGAGTGGACGCATTGGAAGAGGAACTGATCGCAGCTGAACTGGAGCTTCAACAGGCCATGGATACACTTTCTGAATATGTGCAAGAGAATGAACTGACTGGCGATGGTGATTCTGCCGAAGATAATGGTGGTGTTGAAGGGGAATCTGTGAACAACCGACCTCCTCTTTTTTCCAAGTTCGACGACAAGAAGGGATATGATGGCCGTGTGATCAGTAAGCACATGATAGACAGCCTGGTCACAACTGTCTTCAACCACCGGAAAGAGTACCAGGAAAGCAAGATGTTGGGCCTCACAGCAGAGATACTGAAGATTGATTTCAATTACAAGTTGGCGGCCAAAATCAGAGTGTGGACAGGCCCTGGAAAGAGTTTTTGTCCCTACAGATGCATCATTACCATTCAAAATGAAGATGGTCTGACTGTGTTTTGGAAGGCACTCAAACACTCAGAGTCCTTCAGCGAGATTGAGCCAGACTTGGTTCGCCTGAATGACAGATTGAAGAGAAACTTGCAAGCCAAGGAGATAGCAAGAAGAAGAGAAGTTGCGCGCGACCTTGTTGCCGATGGAGCAGAGATTCCACCCATTGGGGATGTTCCATTAACCGACTCAGTCAAGGTGGTGTATGTTGATAACTGTTGTCAAGTGTACTGTACCATCAAGCGGATCTTTGGGAATGTCAAGATTTTACTGGATCCTTTCCATTGGCACAAGAGATGGACTCCATGTCTTAGGGATGCCAATTCGCCACAGGCCGGAATCTTTCGTGGTCTGTTGAGTCGAGCTACCTTTGTTGTGGAAGCAGCGGAATATGATCGAGCCAAAGAGTATCTTCAACAGAAGAAGAATCGAGAGCCAACGCACAAGGAGATAATGAAAGAGGCCAACGCTATCATCCCTCCACCCCAACAGCTAAGGCGCAATGTTGAGGCTGTGTTGGAATTTGTTCGAGGCAAGGATGCAGAAACCGAAATGGCACTGTCAACTGGTGCCGACGGACCATCTGGAAAGCTGTTTCTGAAGAATGATTCCACAACTCGAGACAAGATCAAACAGCTTTTTACATACATTGACAAGGGCTGCCTTTCAGACCCTTCGGAAGTGAACATCTTTCGGAAGAATCCAGTCTCTGGCATTACTTATGTATCGAGGGGAACCAACACAAATGAGAGAGACAACCTGGATCTCGCTTATAAAATTTTGACAGCTACCCACATCGGGATCCACCGTGCAGATCGATTAATGACCTGCTTCTTCGAAGAACATACCGGTACATGTAGTTGTGTGCGAGCTATCATGCTCTGTCTGGGTAGTTAGTTTTTCACCAAGGCAGCCGAACTTAAAGCAATGAATGAGCACAGCGTAATCCACAATGAAATACCCGTGGCTCCGTACGGTGTGATGGTTGCTGGGTATTGTGGCACAATCGCTTTGCCCTCAACGGACTGAGGGTCTTTCACACTTTTATTGCCCTCAACGGACTGAGGGCGCGCGCGTCATTTCACACTTTTATCGCTGTATGTGGTGTGTGTGTGTGTGTGTGGTGTGTGGTGTGTGTGTGTGTGTGTGTGTGTGTGTGTGTGTGTGTGTGTGTAGGTGTGTGTACGTTGAGTGCTGTGTGAGATGTGTGATGTTGTGTGAGATGTGTGTAGACACTACTAAGAGTAATCTACGACGAATCTACCATTGGTGTTTATCCATGGGGTATATCCGTTGCTTGCTGATTTCCAAATTCTGAGCTTAAGAATTTCGCTGTTTGCTTCATCAGTGGAGCAAGCTGGGGATGGCAAAAGATACAAGCCGGGTAGCTGTGAGAAAGCAAGGGTACCCTGTTTGTTGGTGATTTCGAAAATAGACCATAGGAGCTGGTACGGTATAGACCGAGACCAAGCTAAACTAAACCTAAATCCAATACCTCGATGGGCTGATGTGTGTGTGTGGTGTGTGGGTGTGTGTGTGTGTGTGTGGTGTGTGTGCCATGGCTCCCGACAAGCCTCTAATCCAGAAAGGATGAGACGGGGGAGCCATCTAATTCTGGAACCTTCCGTAGGACAGTAGGTTACCAAGTTGGGGGGCCTGGAGTAGGCTACAATCATCCTATCCAGTCCCATTGCATGTTGCCTCGCATGGGGCCCACTGTGTGTGGGATCCGGAAATGCTTGAAGGGCATCAGTTCGTGGGATTGGCAATGCAATCCCTCCAACCTTGCTGGAAGACCTTTGATGGGGGATCCTTGGGTGGTATTCCAGGTGCAGCAGCTGGATTCCCATGGTTCCCTCTTGTTGTTGTTGTTGGCTGGGGGCCAGTGTAGGCCCTTGCCCTGGTGATGCTGCTTCAAAAAGGGGCCTAGTGTGGTGGCTTGGTAGCCCCTGGGCAGGAGCCTCTTGAAGAAGAGCTTGGTCCTGGCGAGCCTGTCAGTCTCCTCAGAGCAGATGTATAGATCCTAAAGAGTTGCCATACACCACTCCAGACAGGAGGCCTGGTGGGTGACAGGAGTGGGATGGGATGTAGAGATACAAGTTGGTTGGTTTCTCATACAGTGTGGGACCAGTTTGTTGTCATGTTGAGGGTGATTGTCATGTCCATGAAATCCACCTGACTGGAGAGTTCAGTGAACTCCCAGTGCAGCTTGTACTCATTGTTGTTATTGCCTTTTGGAAGCCCTCCCACAGGAGCTGGTGTCTTCCATTCGGCAGTGCATATGCCGAAGACATCATCGATGTATCTCCTGTAGGCTGCAGAACTGCAAGACTATCCATGAAGGTCGAAGCAGAATGGACTCAGGATGGCAAAGTAGATGGTGGCATAGGGTGGGGCTGGTGGGCTCCCATTGCAGTGCCCCTGAGTTGCCGCCATGTGGTGTCACCGAAGTGGAAGAAGCTCCACTCCATAATGAGAATCAGTGCCTTGAGGACTGCTTGGTGGGCAGGTCTGGGAACTGTTCTTGGTTGTCTTTGAGCCACTTTGAGATCTTGGTGATGGCTGTCCTCGTGTGTGTGTGTGTGTGTGTGTGTGTTGGTGTGTGTGTGTGTTTGTTGCAGCTGTTTTGGTCACATAGGGGACACTTTCCTCTTAAGGATAGGGATTAATATTGTTGTTCAGTGGACACAGTAGTTTCAACATATGGGTACCAGTTCTGGCTGGCTATGCAGACTCAATAGTGTGTCCAGATAAACACGGTGTAAGTTTTGCCAAAACATAAGGGACATTTTCCTGTTAAGGATAGGGATTGATATTGTGTGTTCTGTTGGACACAGTACTTTGGACCCTTACTGGCTGGCTATGGAGACTTGCTATATAGTGTGTCCAGTTGAACACGGTAAAGGATTTGACCAAAGATGTTAAGGATTCGATTGGGGAATCCAATCAAATCTCTTTTTGACAGTTGAGGGCATCAGCCCCCGGCTGCTTGTTCTTCTCCGCTCTTTTCTCTCGCTTTGTCGCTCTGTTCAGCAAACACAAACGCTTCGTCCGGACACAGTTCGAGATCGATCTAGGGAGCAAGATAAGGACCCTCGCAGTAAACTCCTCCTCTCCTTCGCCATCAATCGACATTGTGCTTGCTTGTTCTTGGACAAGATGAAGAACCGCCGCCGCAACAGCAAGAAAAAAGGAGGCCGAAACAAGAACAAAAAGCCTGCCACAACAAGAACCAATGACAACGTCGCAGTAGCAAACAATGACACAACTACCATTGCGAACAACAACAGCGAAGGTGATGCTGCAACGTTGACGCTACAGCTGTCCAACGTGGTGAAGCGTGGTCTGTGCTTTCATGGCATGTCGGAAGGATATGTGAATGCTGTGGGTCGTGATGCCTTGCAGCCGTTCTTGGTTGATGTGTACTCTCATGATTGCAAAGAAAGCACTGTCAATCATTTGGCCAATCTGCAGATGCTACACTTAGTCCACCCTGTTATGGACCAACCAGGCATGATACAGCTTCTTTATGGACTTGCAGCCACTTTTTCCCTACAAGAATGGACCACTCCCAATCTAAAGAAAGCCATGTTGACTCTGAGAGCAGCGCTTTACCTTGACAAGTGCATGGAAAAACCTTCTCGAGAGGATCATCATCATCAGCTGGTGGAAAAGTGGCTTCAAGTGAAGTGGTACTGTGTCAAGCATTGTGGGAGCATCCATGATGCTATTGTCTACTTGGACAAGAAAGTCCCCTGTCATTGTTTGGCAGATCTCAAAACAAAGGTGCTAGCGACTCGACTCCTGAAGTCCGAGTTTGCGACTACTGTAACAACGAGACTAGTGTAACAATATGGTGCTCCAAATGCACCATGGTGGAGTTTTGCAGCAAGCAATGCCAGCAGTCTGACTGGCCAATTCATGAAATGGAGTGCCAGTTTTTCTGTGGAAAGATCAAATCGGATGAATTTGTACAACACTCCGTTCTGGTGAACAGCATGCAACGGCACGGGTACGAGCCTGGTTCAACTGACAAACAAATAGGCCGTCATTGGTTCCATTGCCTCGGCTGCCAGAAGTTGACGCGTCGGTGGCATTGGTTGCGTTGATGGAACGAGTTCCCACGTCGCATTCGTCTTCAGTATCTTCGAAATCAACGTCTGATAGATCAACTGTTATCTGCGCCGATAGCTTGACCACAGCTAGCAACAGGAGCAATAGCGGGAGCGGTGGAGATGCGGAAGACATCCTCAATTGAGAGGATCATGGTGATTTCCAGGATGGACACAGATACAGATAGAAAAAATGAGGAAAATGACTTCTTGGAAAAAAGGTTGACATTTCTCACAGGGAGATGAAAGGATAAAATCATAAATATTTTATAAAAATCCCTCTTCCACCTGTACCTGGAGCACAGTAGAAGTCAAAATGGGTCATGGTATGGATCTTTTCAATTCATTTTAGCTTTTCATTCTACACTTACGACCAGGTACACTTCGGCCTGTTTCCTCTCATCATGTCAGCAAACGACAGACGCATGACGCCTGGGTCGTCGAGATGAGGAGCACACAACACAAACCATACCGAATAGCTAGACCATGGCATCTCCTCCCCCACTGCAGAATAATCATCTCTTCAATGGTAGACTGGAGTTTGTGCCGGATGGATTGCTCGCCTTGGCCAAAGATGCTCGATACGTGAAGGAATGCCAAGCTCTCTTTCAGCAAGTGATTTCCTCGGTGCTGCCACGGAGGAGGCATGCGTTGGCGGAACAAGAATCTTGGATCTTGGCATCCCTCTTGTGTTTGGCCTTGGGACTGCGGCAGACAAGCAAGGGGACCACTCTGGGCATGGAGACGGTGGGACTCCGATTTTCCAATGGTGCCTCCAGGTGGAAACTGGTGGCATCCACTCTGGTGGCCTTGTCCTGGGCGTATGCTTTTTCAGCACACAACAGAACAAGTAGCCACGACAATGATGCAATCTCATCAGGTACGACAACAAGAACAACAAACAACGGTGCAACAAATCCTTCTGCAATGTTATCAGCAGATACCCAGCAGAATGATGAACTTTTGCGAGGAGTTAGTCGACGTGAATTCCACGAGAGACAACGGCAAGCCATGTTAAGAAGAGCCAATCAAGCTGCTTCGGCTGCAACATCCAACAATCATCAAGGTGAAATTATAATAAACTCTACAGAAAGAGCACCATCGTCAGTATCCACCACCCAGCAAACAAGTATACCAGAATGGGCAACCACTTTGCGGAAAAAACTCAAATCCGTGCTGCTCTTGTTGGCTCGAGTTTTGGCTTCGGCAGCCTTGTCACCATTCGAAGGCCCTCACATGCTGCAGGCAGAAACCAACCAGCAGCAACAGCAACTGCGAAATGAACCGTCGATCCACCAGGCTGGACGATGGTTGGCCAAACTGCAGTTGGCCCATTTTTGTTGGACCGGTTTGTACCCTTCATGGATCCATCGCTTCAGTGGGCTCTCCATGGTACCAACTTCACCTACCAGACTTTATCACCAGCCAACTACATCCAGACTAGTGGGGCTTCTATTGGCATCCCAACTCGTAGCGACCGCGGTTCAGGCGTCTGCATCTGCGACGAGTCGGTGGATGTTGATGCGTGAACAGGCAGCCCAGCAATCTACGTCGTCGTCCTCCTCAGAACGCCATCCACAACACCAACCTTCAGTCATATTTCAATCCGCAAGAACGATAGATGATGGTGCAAGTTCAGCGGAATTCAACAACAACACTGATAGCAAGAGAAGAAGCATATGCTCCATATGCAACATGGAACGCCAGAATCCGTCAGCTCCATCGTCGTGTGGGCATGTCTTTTGCTGGAAGTGCCTCTTGCAGTGGGTGTCCGGCATACGGCCCGAATGTCCTCTCTGCCGGGCTGCCTGTCGACCACAGGATATTGTGGCGCTATACAATTATTCCCCGAATTGAAAACTATTTAGTAGCGACTTGCAAATACGGGACGATCAAGACGTACATGGCCTTAATGGCAAAAGCGCTGCTGTCTCTTTTTTAGTTTTGGCTTGTCTACTATTGTTCCTCTTCGGCTTTAACGTCAACCTCCATTTTGTCTTCTTCTTCTTCTTCTTCTTCCTCCTTGTCTTCTGTCTTCTCTTCCTTGCTTTCTTCTTCGTCTACGAGTCCTACCTGTTCTTTCCACTGTGCTCTGGAAGCCTCGGGCAAACTCTTCATCATGCGCTCGTACTGCTTTCGGATGGGAGTAAAGTCTCCCACGCTAGGTTCTTCTTCTGACTTGGTTTCCAGTGACTCCTTCCAAAGAGCAAGAAACCGTCGTTCCGCGAGGGTCTCGCTTTCTTCTACGGCCTTGACGATATCGCATGCAAATTCCAAGAGCTTATCCCGAGGAAGCAGCTGATTTCCAAGAGCAGCCCACTCATTGAATAAGGTTATCAAACATTCGTGAGCTGCCGATGTGCTGGTGCCCCATTTCTTTTGCTTCTTCGGGCCCTTCTTGCGCTTGGCATGTCGAGGTGGCTTGCGCAGAAAGTCCAGCCAAGTAGAGACAACGGCGTCTCTAGTGGATCGCTGCAGCTTGGACTTGTGCTTGAGCAACGCATCAATCAAACCCGCGAAGAATGCCCTATCATCGCAAATGGCAGAGGAAGCTTCTGCGAGAACAGCGGCAAACTTGGGATATGTCACAGCGAGGGAAGCCTCGTTCGAATTGCCAGGCAGACAAATGTGAACCAATGCTCCTTGGACCAAAGCCGCGACACCTTGAATATTGTTGCTGCTGATCGTGGACCACACCTCGGGATCCGGAGGCTTGGGTCTCGCCTCCATCATGGAATTAAATGCATCGTGCAGGTCGCCTCCAACAATCACTCTTTGATCCAGTGCATTCTCCATGAACAGCTGCGAGAGCAGCGGGAGGAACTTGCGCAAGGCATCAAAAGGGATGATTTGCATCAGAAACTCTTCGGCCGACGGTTGGTCCGTCTCCGGTGGAGCTTCAATACCGCCTCCGGGAACAATGTACTGGAAACCACGCGAGGCACACACTTGATTGGACCACTGTGCCATATGCAGCATCTGCAACAACGATGGAACAACGTTGCTGCCTGTTGGCAACGATTTGCCCCGGATGATATCCAGTCTTACCGACCGCAAAATCCGGTTCAATATCAATCGAACGACAAAGGGGTCGGCCAAAAGCATGGATGCCAATGACGGCATGCTGGGATAGACCTTGTCCTTGTTTTTTTCTGCCTCGGCTTCGGGCTTGGCAGCGGCGGCCCCAGGGACCGTATTCTTAAAGACGGCAGGTACAGGGCTGATCTGGGACGAAACAGTCCCTGGCTTGTTTTTGGGATCGGGCAAGGTTCCAGGTAGTTTTCGTTTTCGCGACGGCGCGTCTTCGTCATCATCTTCCGTCTTTGTTCGTAGCGCGACTTCCTTGTCATATAGAATTCGTGCTTGTGGCAAAATTTCTTCTTTGTGGACTTTCTTTTGCCGCTGCGCTTCCCCTCGAAACCATTGACCAGCAGCCCCTCGATTGTAGGTGATACAATTCTGGAACATGAGTTTGACGTCCTCCTCCCATTCTTGCAATGTTTTGTACATGTTGTCGTGATCGTCAATCTTTTTCTCCATGGTCATGATACACATGGGTTGTTTGATGACTTTGCTGTATCCTGGAGCAATGGCGTCCGTGACAGGATTCAAAAAGAGACTCTGTGGATCGGCCTCTTTCATGGCATCCAAGCAGCCACGAATGATACGACTGAGCTGTCGTTTGAACGCTGTGGTGGGTTCTTTCAGTGGATTGTTGGCAGTTTTTCCCGGCGTCGTCTTGCCCTTGGCATCCTTTTTGGGGTCCGTTTTGCCTCCGTCCTTTTTGCCTCCTTTCGTGGGTGGTGATTTCTTGTTGTTGCTGCTGTTGTTCTTGTTGTTGTCCTTGTCCTTGTCATCGTCCTTTTTGTCAGTTGGCGTCTCCTTCATGGCCGGGAATATATCCTTCAAACAAGACTGTATTTTGAGAATGGCCGTATCTTGCAGCACCCCCGCCTTGACACTGTCATCCAATGTAATGGCCAGTCTTAAGACGTGTTGATAGGCTTTGGGAAGTCCCGTCGATGCCGATAGGAGCAGATCGGCTACGAGCGTACAGTGGAGATGATCGGAACACGCCATGATATTGTCATCCAAGGATCCGTGTTCGGCAATCAAAATGGAGAGTACAGCATAGAGCAATTTGGGTCGAAACGCAGCCGTCCCTCCAGTGGGATCGGACAATAACTGTTTTACGGACGCAATGGTTTTCCCCGATGTTATTTCCCCATCGACAGCGTTGGTTGTGGAAGATTTGGTGGGAGTCGTTGCACTTCCCGCTCGATTGGTGAGACTGCTGAGTGTACTGGATGCTGCTTTGGGGGAAGAACTACCGGCTGGATTTGCCGAGGAACCGGTTGCATTGGAGAGAGCGTTGAGTGCTCTCCGTTGGTTGGTAGGCAATGCCCGCTGCTGGACGCGTTCCACAAAGAGTCGATTGGCATGTGTGACGAGGTACTCATTGCGACAGTAGTCTTTCAAATGTGGCAATATGGTATGACCGAGCAGAGTTGTTTTGACTTGTTCCAGGAAGGCTTTGGGTTCCATTTGTTCCACCATTTCTCGCGAGATTTTGTCATCCCAGTCCGTCTCCCATACAAGCCGCTTCAACAGCGGAGGCAGAGGTCGGAATATATCGGCGTGTTTGAGTTCTCCGTTTTCTTCTTGTTCTCCCAGTGCCTTGAGTACGGCGGGTGGGGTATCTTTTCCGAGTTGTTTGAGCACGGTCCACAAGACCGGCCGTAATTCTGGAATGGTTGTCGCATAGACCCAACAAGACTTGAGTAAATTTAAGAGTGGTTCTGGCTTTTGTGTCTTTTTAATCTCCACTTCGAGATGTTTGAGTAGCGTGTCACCCACACGTTTGTGGACTTCGTACTGGGAGACCCCCAAATTGGATAGAAATGCCATGGCCGAATCCGTGCCGAGGGATTCCACTTGGAGAGCAGGAGCATCTCCTTTGCTGCGAGTCTTGGCCTTGGCTTCTTCGGCAGACACTTCGTGGCTCGGTGTGGTGCCAAAGGCTTTGGCAAACATGGAATGCAGCGAATGCTCCCGTTGGAATTTCTGAATGGTTTCCACTGGATTCGTCGATCGAACCAGGGCTCGGCGAAGATCGCGACGACCTGCCGGACCCACGGGAAACACAGGAGCTTTGGCCGTCTTATTATTGGCGTTCGGAGACTTGTCCGGGGCTGACATGATGGTGTTACCACAAGTACAAGTACAAGTACAACTAACTAAAAGTAAAGTGTGCTGTACTCAATAGATATCTCTGTGAGAATGATCGATGGGCGTCAAAGATCTTGATCTTGTTGGAGGTTGAAGGCGACACTCGATCAAACCGTTTTTTGCGGCTCTGCTGGGTGGCTCAGTCGTGCATAGATCTTCATTTCAAATCCATTTTCACGGAAAGCAACGTCTTCCTTGACATCATCTCGACCAGAGTGCTCATCCAGTCGGTGTCTTCACACAGAGGGTAGATGAGATAATACATGTAGTCTAGGATCAGTCGACAACAGACAGCATTGTTAGTGATAATGGAATTGTGTCAACAGCTCTCATGGAAAAAGCGAAAATCGGCGGATGGAATTGACTACAATGACGACAAGGACAATAACCAGGATTGGGAAACGCTCTTTTATGCCCTGCAAAGGGAACGAGTCACCCAAGCCGAAGCCCTCTTGCAGGCACACACTCGGGAAAGCGAAGAACGAGAAAAGTTAATGAGAACCTACAATCAAGAACTGGAAAGCGAAAACAATACTCTGAGAGGCCAAGCTGCCAAGGCAGGAGAACAACTACAACGACAGCAGGAACTAGAAACGCAATTGCAACAGTTGCAAGACAGACTATCGCAACAAGAGGCGACCATTCACGCTTACCAACAACTCACGGGAGCTACTCTTAGTAATGTCCAACTCCCACAGCAAACAGATGATAAGAAGAACAAGGAGAAGTCTCCTACATCAGGTGATGATGAGGAGGAAGAAGCATCCACAGACAAGAAAGAAGATGAACCCTCACAGGAACTAGACTTTGTCTGTTGCGTTAAAAACCCGGAAACCAAGGTGGCGACAAAGTTTCGTATTTCGACGGTACCATCCACCGAGGAAACAATGACAGAGGAGCAGCAATCCACAGAACCTGCCGGTACCATTTTGAAGTACGCCATGCTGGAAAATCCAAAACATCTCCCCGAGTTCCTGCAAGGAGAAATTGAGTTTGAAAGCACACAGCTGCCACCCTTGCTACAAAATGTCCTGCGAGGTATCTTTCCGGAGGAGGAAGAATAAGTAGCTAGCTAGCTAGATTGCTGGAGAATGGACGAGATATGGTTCCAAAGGTACACTGTATCACGAGAGTTTTGTGTTGCAGCGTCGTAGTTAAGAACGTTTGCAACTGTGTGTGTTTGCTGTGTGCGGAAGCATTGTAATTGACGATTGCACATCTGTAGTCTTTCTCTTAGGCAATCCTCAATATCTATAACAGCTTCTATAACTTAATTCCTTCAATATCAATCAGGGCCAAAACTTTTGTTACAATACAAGGTGACTGCAGATTGTTCTACTCAACTCCCAGTGTTCTGGATGCATCATGAGATTCGTAACTTTGACAACTCGGGTGATATTGTTCGATCTGATGATTGCAGACTGAGGGCTGCTGCTTGCATGCCCCATGATACAGCTTCACTTTCGTCTTTTCCTTCTAAAAGGGCATGTAGAAAGGCCCCAGCAAGAGTGTCGCCTGCCCCTGTGGAGTTTTGAACCTCCACTTCATCCACTACAGGAAAGTGTCGAAATTGGTAGTCTGCAGGATCGCTTTCATCGCCTGATTGACGATCACCTTTCTTAGTCGCGAGCAAGACGCCTTCACTGCCCATTGTGACCACCAGGCAAGCTTTCTTGGGTGACATGCAACTCAATACTTGAGCCGTTATAAATCTGATTTCCTCGATGTCCAAACCAGGTTCACCCAGGTCCCCCGTTGCACCACAAGCAGCATCTCTCATGGCGATTAGTTCTGAGAGGTTGGGGAATGCGCCCGTGAGAGCGCGGAGAAAGGCCGCGTCGTGAGCAGCCAATTGAGCTTTTGGCACGCTCGTCGGCTCAAAGTAGACGTCCACACCCAAGTCCGACGCTTCACACGCAGCACTCCTCAGCGTGTCGATGGGTGGGTTGGCATCCACGAGAAGAATCTTTGCTGTGGACAGGAGCTCGCGTGGAGGCTTCTGAATGTCGCTCATGACGGCCATGTCGGCACATGCCGTGTGGAGATCGTTGGTCTCGCCTTCTAATACTGCCAAGTAGGTTGCCGTATTGGATCCCTCTACAACGTGGATTGTCATGTGTGAATCTTGAATGCCATACTCGGACTGCCGTCGCTGCAAGGCAAGCCCTCGGGCGTCATGTCCCACCGCAGAGTACAACAAGGGCTTGGATCCCAGTCGACCTAGCACTTCTGCCACATTCCTAGCCACTCCTCCATCTGACTCAGTGCAGTCAGCAGGATTGGAAGTCCCGAGCAACAATGCGCCTGATTTGGGTTTTGCTACAATATCCAGGACTGTGCCACCCATGACAATCACTGGCGATGGCCGTGGCAGTTCACTTGGCAAGATTCCAACTGAAGTTGAATTCTTTTGCTCTGCGATAGCCACGGCAATTTCAGACCCAACTTGCGCATTGTTTTGAACCAAAGAGATGTTGCAACGCAGGCTGTCTCCACCTGTTGTTTCGGCAACACGTTTCAGAATGAAGGGTGTCACCGCTTGGCCATGCAACCCCCGCTTATTGGCTTCTTCCAATGCTTCTTGGATGGCCTGTTCAATAGATTCACCAGCAGAGTTTGGTGGAGGGACGGCTACTAGCATTCCATGGGGGAAATTGAGTGCCCGCGCAGCACTGAATGCAGACGCCACTTCCACAGCAGAGTCTACCCTTGCGGGTGCCATGATTCCAGAGTTGGGCGAGAAGAAGCAAGGGAATTCATCTGCTTGAAAGGCCACAGTCGGGACGCCATTGGTTTCCAAAACCTCCAAAGTTCTCGGAATATCCAGAATGGATTTGATGCCAGCCGAAACTACCACAACGGGTGTGCGCGACAGCTCCGTCAGATCAGCCGAAATATCCATTGTATTCTCTACGCCTCGATGTACCCCTCCAATGCCACCGGTGACAAAAGTATCTATTTTAGCCGTGTGCGCCAAAGCCATTGTAGATGCCACCGTAGTGGCTGCAAGAAACGGCCATGCAACCAAAGGTTCCAAACAAAATTAGGAATTTGTATTGATAAGGAATGCTCGGCAGCACCAATGATATCTTACCTCCCCATTGATGTGGCCTTCTTCCCCTTGTGTTTTCAGCCAGGCGATGTCTGGCGAGAATCAAGGACAACTCTCGTGTGGAGCATTTCTGAGCCCTCTTCTCTTCACCCGCTCTGGCAAGGTCCTCCAATTCATCCCCAGTGAGACCAACGTGACAAACACCATTTTTGACGGCAATAGTAGCAGGTACCGCACCCTTTTGCATCGAAAAGATATTGACGGCAGAAAGCTATCAGCGAACGTGTTATCACAAATCACAATACATGCGATCAGAAGCAAACTCACTCACCTTGGATTGAACTATGGATTCGACACTCTGCGCAGTCTCCAAGTTTTGCGGAAATGGCATTCCGTGCGCCACAATGGTGGACTCCAACGCGACGATCGGTTCACCATTCTTCAAAGCTTCCTCCACAGTCTTGTCCACTTGGAGATAGTTCTGAAGGCTCGAAAATTCTCTTCGTCGTCGCTGCGATAACCGGCGCAAACTCACACAAGACGTGCCATTCAACCTCTGTAAGATCATCGTCCACTACTCTATCCGGATACGTACAAGGATCACAGCAACTCACAGCAACAGAAGCGGACACGCAGGAACGAATGCAAAGGCATCCAGAGAGGAAAATCCACGTAGTGAAGCTTCGCGCGAAAAGGGCGCATGCACCTCTGCTGCAGCCCCGATTCCTCACTTTTGTTCTTTTCTTGGATCGATCGATCTTTGTGAAGAGGCGGTTCGTGCCATGAAAGGCCCGGCTATATTCAAGTCACCGATGTAGGATGGGTGTGGAAAGAGTGCTGTGGGTATTAGTTTGGAAATGTGAAATAAGAGACAATCTAGTAGTTAAGATTAGTCTTAATGGTGTGTTTTTTCTTGGATCGATCGATCGATCTTTGTGAAGAAGCAGAAGAAGCAGTTTTACTGCCCATCAATCCAAGAAAAGAGAACTCCTAACCAGCTAACATACAGTAGTAGACGTTTGTTTGTATGCAAAAACAACGGCAAAGGTGACAGAGAGTTGCCATCGTCGCTGTGTTTTGCTGTTTTGGGTTTACCCAGTTTCCCCAAACCAGGAAGGGAGCAGAGGTAATCACGTTTTGGAATTCCCCACAATCCCACCCCAGGGAGTTGAGGTAATTTTAAAAAATAAGCAGCAAAGCTGGTAAAACCTGGCCACACTTGTCACGCTCACTGCACCCATACCAATCCAACGAAACTCGCCCCCAACCAACCTCAAGACAGCAGTGAACATTTGGAGATCTCCCCAAGTACCCTCCAAGACCAACTGAAACCTCGTTTTTCAGTTGCGGTGGTGGTCCCAAGTTTGTGACTTGCATTCGCGGCGTTTGCGTTTATAACCGGCCAGGCCGTCGCGAAAGCTATCGCGAAATTTTTGCGACGATCATCATGTCAGATTCTGAAGACAAAAAGCCGGCGGCAAAAAGCCACAACAACGCTGTGGATGTAGCTGCAGAGGAAGATTCTACTCAGGAAGAAGACAACTACGCTAGCGCACAAGACCAGCTGCAACAACACCAGCATCACGACCAACAACAGCAAGTCCAACCAGCGCTCCAGCACCAGCAAATGCCAGGAACAAACAACCCGCCTCACGCAGCACCCACTCACCAAACTGGATCCATTGCAACCTGGTGCAATAGTGAGGCTTATGTCTCTCAGGATGAAGATAACATGGCAAGTATTGATCAGAATATGATTATGGACATGCTTCGAACAACATACACCATTGGACATGCTGATGGTGATGTACGTCACCAGTTGGCACAAGGGTATGACATCTCCCCACCCGATCCTGGGTTCTTCTTAGCACGCACCACTAACCATGAACTGATTATTTTATATGGAATCAAAGTTTGCACACAAGTGGGCTCTGCATGGTGCCAACAAACAGTTGGTTTTGCCGGCGACATCCCTACAAACAGCCAGCTTCCAGCAACTTGGTCCATTAAATATTTCAACACTATGGCAAAGATGGTACAGGTGTCTGCAGTGGCCAATCTTACCAAGCTACGAGCCAGTGCCAAGGCAGATCCACAGCAGCCAAATCTGGTCCCCACCTTCCCAACAAACAAAACTTCCCAGAAACTACCTGTGGTGTCCATGGTGAAAATCCCAGCCCCACTCCTCGCCAGAGCTTTGGCAGCTGGTGACCCACAGACCGCTACCTTACATCCTGGAAGGGAATTGAGTCGTGCGTACGGTGTATCGTGATGACTTGCTTTTTTCGCCCTGTAATGGCTGCAAGTCGAACAGCCGGAATTCCGCAACCTTGCACTGTCTTGGTAGTTTGAACCCTGTGCTTGGCAGTTTGCTTTTCACGTTTGGCGTGTTGAAGTCGTCGCGTTCTCTACCTGAGAGAG